TAGAATTAATAAACAAGTTTCAACCATAAAATGTGATCAGGTTTTGGACCTTGTCCACTTTTGTATCGAGATCGGCTGCAGACTGTCTTGACAGAGATGGCTGCCATCTTGTTTTTATATGGATTAGTGTATTTTGGTCTTACTACCACTAGGTGGCACAAAAGAGTGTCCACAAAGGTGGACAACAGGTCCAACAGTTCACTTGCTTTGATCCAAATCAGATACTAGTTTTGTAACAAAGCTGCATAATTGCCTAGAGTTGGTTTGTGTTCTCACGGCAGCATTTTCAAAAAAGCTGCTCTTGATTGGTCAGAATTTCTATGCGGGAAAAATCCAGGAAGTAAACAAAACGTTGGAGAAGAGTACACTTGCAAGATTAATGCAACACTTTCTTGTGTCACAATGGAGGGACAACTACACAGGTTGATTTTAGCGCTGGTCATCGTGGACTATATTGCTGTCATTGTTCATTTTAGTCAAACCATACAGTTTGAAAACGAGGTGCGGCTCCAACTAGAAAACAATGTTTTGATGCATTGGATGTGCTGAATGTGCATATTAAGGCAGTACAGGAGGAGGTGCACATTAATAATCCTCCAGGACTGTAACATGCTCATGTTTAACCCAAACAATGCGTCATGTGACTGCAGTTGGTTCAGATCGAGGTTGGTACACTTTCTCACCACAAACAAACTGCACCAGAGTTCATTTGTAACCAGACCGAGACCACCTCTTCAAGAAGGTCTTGAGTGTGATTGCTATGTTCACACCTGCCCAAACGAACTGCACTTAGGGTGCTTTCAGACCTAGAGTTGTCTTGCTTTGGTCTGAATTAGGGACTAATTTTGTTACAAAGTTGCACAGTTGCCTAGAGTTGGTTCTTGTTCTCATGGCAGCATTTTCAAGCGGACCAGATAAAATGCCTTGTGCCAGAAAGCTGCTCTTGATTGATCAGAATTTCCACAAACAAACCGCACCAGAGTTTGTTTGTATCCAGACCGAGACCACCTCTTGAAGAAGATCTCGGTCCGGTTGTTTTAGAGTGCACCCAAGTGCGATTGCTGTGTTCACACCTGCCCAAACGAACCACACTTAGGGGCAAACATACTTGAGTTTGATTGAACCGAACCAAACAGGGCAGGTGTGAAGGCACCCTAGGTTGAGTAGAATGAGGTAAAGTCGAGTAAACCCAAAATGTGATGTCCTGGTATGAGGACACATGGTCTCAGGAGGATATAAATCAAATTTTACTTGCTTACATGACTCCTAGATGAGTCCTTCTTGGTGAAAGTGGTGCTGTAACAACTATTCCCTTGACACAACCACACCTGGTCTCCCCTATGAAGCCAATGTCTGGCTCACACAAACAACCACTGAGTTCACCTTTGTGTTCAACTATATTGCTCACTATCATGGCTATTTTTTTTACTACAATTAACAAGCTCTGGTTTTATGTCCATGTCAATTCAATTCAATTCAATTCAATTCAATTTTATTTATAAAGCCCAATATCACAAATCACAATTTGCCTCACAGGGCTTTACAGCATACGACATCCCTCTGTCCTTAAGACCCTCACAGCGGATAAGGAAAAACTCCCCAAAAAAAACCCCTTTAACGGGGAAAAAAAAAACGGTAGAAACCTCAGGAAGAGCAACTGAGGAGGGATCCCTCTTCCAGGACGGACAGACGTGCAATAGATGTCGTACAGAACAGATCAGCATAATAAATTAACAGTAATCCATATGACACAATGAGACAGAGAGAGAGAGAGAGAGAGAGAGAGAGAGAGAGAGAGAGAGAGAGATGCAGGTAATGACAGTAGCTTACAACAACATTATTGAAAGTAATAATATTATAGTTATAGTTCTGGCTACTGTGGTACAATATGTTGAAAGTATGTATTAATATCTGGCAGTATACATGTGTGACAATAGTCATATGTGTATAATAACAGTAGAAGTATGACTAATGACTAATGATGGCAGCAGCAGCAGGAGGCATCTGGCAGGACCACGGCAGCAGCACAACCACACACGTCACGCTGTCCAGGCACCGCTGCGATATGAGTTAATCTGAGAGACAGTGGAGCACAAAGGCTCCGGAGAAGAAGCCGAGTTAGTGACATCCAGAATGGCCGAGTTAGCAAGATGCAGTAATAGGATGAGAGTGAGAGAGAGAGAGAGAGAGAGAGAGAGAGAGAGAGAGAGGGAGAGAGAGGGAGCCCGGTGTATTATAGGGGGTCCTCCGGCAGACTAGGCCTAAGTCAGCCTAACTAGGGGCTGGTACAGGGCAAGCCTGAGCCAGCCCTAACTATAAGCTTTATCAAAGAGGAAAGTCTTAAGTCTAGTCTTAAATGTGGAGACGGTGTCTGCCTCCCGGACCGTAACAGGAAGATGATTCCACAGGAGAGGAGCCTGATAGCTGAAGGCTCTGGCTCCTGATCTACTTTTGGAGACTTTAGGGACCACGAGTAACCCTGCGTTCTCAGAGCGCAGTGTTCTGGTGGGATAATATGGCACTATGAGCTCTCTAAGATATGACGGAGCTTGACCATTTAGAGCTTTATAAGTTAACAGTAGGATTTTAAATTCAATTCTGGATTTTACAGGGAGCCAGTGCAGAGAAGCTAAAACAGGAGAAATATGATCTCGTTTCTTAGTTCCTGTTAGTACACGTGCTGCTGCATTCTGAATTAGCTGGAGAGTTTTTAAGGACTTACTAGAGCTACCTGATAATAGAGAGTTACAGTAATCCAGCCTTGAGGTAACAAAAGCGTGGACCAATTTTTCTGCATCTTTTCGGGTCAGGATAGGCCTAATTTTCGCAATATTACGCAGATGAAAAAATGCAGTCCGTGAGGTTTGCTTTAAATGAGAATTAAAAGACAAATCTTGATCAAATATTACTCCGAGGTTTCTTACGGTAGTGCTAGAGGCCAGAGCAATGCCATCTAGAGAAACTATGTCATCAGATAAAGAGTCTCTGAGTTGTTTGGGGCCAAGAACAATAACTTCAGTTTTGTCTGAATTTAACATCAGGAAATTGGTGCTCATCCAATTTTTTATGTCTTTAAGGCAGTTATGGAGTTTAGTTAATTGATTACTTTCTTCTGGCTTCATCGATAAATACAACTGTGTATCATCCGCATAACAATGGAAATTTATAGAGTGATTTCTAATGATGTTACCTAAAGGAAGCATATATAGAGTAAATAGGATTGGTCCGAGCACAGAACCTTGCGGAACTCCAAAACAAACTTTGGTACGTAAGGATGATTCATTACGAACGTCAACAAATTGAAAACGATCAGATAAATAAGATTTAAACCAGCTTAGTGCTGAACCTTTTAGGCCAATTAAGTGATCCAGTCTCTGCAGTAGAATTTGATGGTCAATTGTGTCAAACGCCGCACTAAGATCTAATAAAACAAGAACAGAGACGAGTCCTTTGTCTGAAGCAATCAGAAGGTCATTTGTAATTTTAACTAGAGCTGTCTCAGTGCTATGATGCACTCTAAATCCTGACTGAAATTCCTCAAATAAATTATTATCCTGGAGAAAATCACACAGCTGGTCTGCGACTACTTTCTCAAGGATCTTTGACATAAAGGGAAGATTAGATATTGGTCTATAGTTGGCTAACACCTCTGGATCCAGGGTGGGCTTTTTTAGGAGAGGTTTAATTACAGCTACCTTAAAAGACTGTGGTACATAGCCTGTTAATAGGGATATATTGATCATATCTAATATATGAGTGTTAACTAAAGGAAAGACCTCCTTAAGTAGCCTAGTTGGGATGGGGTCTAAGAGACACGTTGATGATTTAGATGAAGAAATCACTGCGGTCAATTCTTGAAGAGAAATTGGGGAGAAGCAATCTAAATATATATTAGATTCTACAGCTGTGTTTGAGGTTAGATAGGTAGGCCTACCATCTGAGGGCAGGAGGTCATGAATTTTGCCTCTAATAGTTAGAATTTTGTCATTAAAAAAGCTCATAAAATCATTACTGCTAAGGGCTAAAGGAATACAAGGCTCAATAGAGCTTTGACTCTCAGTCAGCCTGGCTACAGTGCTGAAAAGAAACCTGGGGTTGTTCTTGTTTTCTTCTATTAATGCTGAGTAATAGTTTGCTCTGGCATTGCGGAGGCCCCTCTTATAAGTTTTGAGACTGTCTGTCCAGATTAAACGAGATTCTTCCAGTTTGGTTAATCGCCAATTCCTTTCAAATTTTCGCGATATTTGTTTTAACCTACGGGTTTGAGAGTTATACCAAGGAGCAAACTTTCTTTGCTTTGTTAACTTCTTTTTAAGAGGAGCTACAGAGTCGAGCGTTGTTCGCAGCGAGCCTACGGCGCTATCAACAAAATGATCAATTTGGGAGAGGTTAAAGTCGGCACGGGAAACCTCTGTTACTGAAGGTATTGGTATTGAATTTAACGACGAAGTAATCTTTTCCTTAAATTTTGTGACAGCACTATCTGATAAACATCTAGTATAGTAACTGTTGCTGAGTGGCGTGTAATCGAGTAAAAAGAAATCAAAAGTAATCAGATAATGATCTGATAGCAAGGGATTCTGTGGAAAGACTTTTAGGTTATCAATTTCAATTCCATACGTCAGAACTAGATCGAGGGTATGGTTAAAACAGTGAGTGGGTTCATGTACACCCTGACTGAAGCCAATGGAGTCTATTAATGAGATAAACGCGGTAGCCAGGGAGTCATTATCAACGTCGACATGAATGTTAAAATCGCCTACAATAATAACTTTATCTGATTTAAGAACTAAACTGGATAAAAACTCTGAGAATTCAGATACAAATTCAGAATACGGGCCAGGAGCACGGTACACTATAACAAATAAAAGTGGCTGCGAGGATGTGTAATTAATAAAGCAACAGTGTGAGAGTAAAGCCCTGTTGAAGCAGCAGCCTCTGTGCGGCTGTTGCTGGGAGCTCCGGCCAATCAAAGCCGCAGCGCTCCCATACAAGTAGTTTGGGGGCTGGAGAAGCATGACATCATGCTCAGCTCCGACCCTCTCTGCGAAAACAAAGAATAAAACAAATTTATTTCACTACAGCACGCAACAGTCGACGACAACGACGTCTGCACTGTGATACTCCGCGGCTCCATCCTTAAAATACAGCCGGAGTCTGGCCGCGGTGCTCCGGTGTGTGCGGCGGAGTCTGGGAGGGGCATCCGTCCGTCCGTCCGGGCAATGGCGGATGGGGAGGCCACTGTGTCTGTGGAGTGGGACAGCAGCGATGGGGGCTTAGCAGAATAACATCCCACCTCTGCGTTTATATTTTCTCTGTTTAGCTTGGTATTCATCTGTCGCCATGGACCCAGAGAAAACGCTGACATTCTGCCTCGGGCTGAAGGCTGAGGAGGTAAACGCACCGCACAGCTTTGCTTTGATACAAACAGCTGGGCTTCAGTTCTTCTGCAGAGCAACATGCTCTGCACGGTCTGTGTTGTTGCTGACAAACAGTGGCCTCAACTTGTACTGTACCCGTCTGCCTTTTCCTGTTCTTCATCCTGAGTTGCATCTTTTGACATGTCTCTCCAGGACAGAATGTACATTTGTTGCACCACTGCAGCAAAGTCAGTTTCTATTTGATTGTTTGTAGTGAGAGGAAGTGCTGTCTGTGATGCTGTTGGTCATGCAAAACATTTTATAGACAGTTTTAGAAGCAAGGGCCCTCTAATGCACAACAACATCTTTTAAAATTTAATCCAGTGTCACTAAACTCACCACAGACACACAGTAAACTCTCTCTGGGAACACTAAAGGAAAGTTATGAGTTGTATATTATGGATTTCAGTTGTAGTTTTTTGACTTGTTGACTTGTGTTGCAGAAACTGCACTTAGATTTTAAAGTTGGTTCTTTGTTTGCTGCCATAATGCACCAAGGATTAAACTGTAATATATGCAGGCATGATTTAAGAGCTGTAACTGCCAAACCCCTTACAGCCTCATAAATCTAATATACAGCTGCTTGTCCAGCAGAACACCATACTGCTGATTCAGGACACTGCCAGCTCAACACTGGGAATGATGTTTCCTTGTTCTAAGTCTGCTGTTGTCCAGAAATATTTAGGCTTATACAGCTGTATTCATGATACCACAGTGTAAACTACATCTGTTTGAAAGTGCTCAGAGGAGACATCTATGTTCAGGCAGTCACTGTGACATGTAGAGTAACATTCACCTCAAACCCTGTGATACTAATAGTAACATGTTGCTTTATTGGCATAATTATAATCAAAGGAATACTTCACTTTTTATTCCTCACTCTGTGTTGTGTTGAATTCGTAAAGAAAACTTATTTTTCTCGCATGCCTCCACAGTGAACGAAGAATCTAAAAGCAGTAAACATTGTTGATGAGTTGAAGTCAGTGGGGACAGTGTTTAACTACAGCAAAACTATATCAAAACATCTGCCCCATTTACACTGATTGTTCAGGGAGGTTATTTGTAAGGTGCATTTGCGGATAGAGGGACAGAGTTTTCTCGTCTTTTGGCCACCACAGGAAGTAATAACAGCGCAAAAACTGTGTCTGTACAAACAGGACAGCTTCATTGTCTCCGTAGGGAAATTTGTCAGGAGGTGCACAAGTATTGCTGCCTTACAGTAATGATGATAACGTGTTACGCGTGCAACCCACCATGGGAGATTTTAAAAGTAGCTGTTAGCAGTTAGTGCCTATTTTAAAGAAGAAGAGCAGTGGCCGTAAATGTCAGCAAAACAATGGAAAAACAATTAGATCCAGGAGCTCCTTACCCTCTGAGCAGAGGACGAGATCAGCCACCATATAACAGATGCATATGTCTTATGTCACAGTAGAGGCTGAGGCTGTTGTGTTACATATGATGCCCGTCAGGCTTCCTTTGATTCTGTGTATAATCACACACTGAAGTTGTTTGTTTCTGTCTAAAAATGCAAAGGAGGCATAAAGCAGGGACTGTGCAGCGGCCCTGTAGCGTGATCTCTGTGTGAAAAGGGCTAAAGTTTGTTGTTTTTGGATTCTTCATTCAATACAATAGGGTGAGTTAATAATATACAAATGATCATTCAGGAGATGAAGTATACCTTTAGGTGCAGCATTACTATAATAATGTCGGATAATACGTTTTTTTTCCCAAGTTAATGTTGTTTTAGTATGTCAAGTTTTGGCATTTGATTTTTATTGTGGTAAAGGACTTGGTTCTTATATCTTCATATAAAGATGCAGCATCTGTCTTTATGTGTCTTGACCTTTTTACAGGCTTCAGTGGAGCAAAAAGTGTTTGTCTGTCTCGGCTTCATTCTGACATTAAAAGCAAATCTATTAAGCCCACATGATGACCACAGTTTGCTTCAAAGTCCAAGGAGTCTTGACCTCATCTTATTTACATCTTATTTACATGCAAGTTTTAGAATTTAACATATAATTTAAGTCATAATCTTGACTACATGACATAAATGCCTGTTTTTTGTGCATTTTCTCATTTTACCTTTGCCAACTGAAATACCAGCCTCCAGTTGATTTCCCCTTCACTCATAATTTTTGGGTGTTCAGGTGGCGAGGGAGGCTCACAGTCAGACGTACACAAATTGGCGTGTTCTTCACAGGTTTCATGTCATCTATGTTGGAGTTAGTAAGGTGTGTGTGTGTGTCGATGCAAAAGAGAACTGAGGGACCCCAGGGGTGGAAATCATTTGTGGTTAGTCTGTGGTCTCTGGGGAAGTCTGAATGTACTTCGCATCCACGTGCATGTACTCCACGCTGTGCAGTGGGCTTACCACAGGAACTCAGTTCCCTCTTGACTCTGTATTTCATAACAGTATGAAAGCTTACTTATGACCCACCTGAGGTTATATTTGACAGATGGATATGCAGCAAGACTTTCCTGTTGGGTTTTGTTGTGGAACAATGTTTAGTGGTCTGCATATATCAGAAACAAAAACAGTTTGCAGAATGTCTTATATATAATTAGTTGTAGCAGAGTAGACGCTTCTTTTCTTAAATTAACAAAATGTTTTGTAATAAAGCACATCTATATTTCCCTGAGCTCAATATCAAAAAAAATATTGTTTTGTATTGGTACCAAAATTTAAAGGTCCAGTGTTCAGGATTTAGAGACATGTAATAGAGAGATTGCACATTGGAACCAACTGAAACTTCTCTTGTGTCCCAAGCCTAGGAGAACTACAGTGCAAGAACACAGTTGGCCCCTATTTAGAGTCAGTGTTTGGTTTGTCTGTTTTGGGCTACTGTAGAAAAAAATGGTGGACTCTGTGGAAGAGGACCCGCTCTGTATGTAGATGTAAACAGCTCATTCTAAGGTGACAAAAACACAATGATTCTTAGTTTCAGATGATTACAAACTGATGAAAAAAAGTTTCTTATTGTATTCAAATTCTGCCAATAGATTGCCCTAAATCCTATACACTGGACCATTAAAGTGAAATGTAGGTATTCTTTTAACCTGGACCCTATCTTCCCATGTTTTTGTGTCTAAGTGAGTAATGGAGAGAGTCTTTGAAATTGCAGCTGCAGCGGCAAAACAGGCTGCAATGTGGTCAATTTACAGCTATAAAAACTGCTTGTTTTTGCCACAAGTTTTTTTTTATACCTTCCACTGATCCAGTCTGTTGTGTGTAACTTTGTCTTGCTTAAGTAGCAGTCTTGTCCTGAAATCTCACTGACTTTTCCACATCATCGAAATTCAGCCATGACATTGAAAATCTTTTTTGTATTACTAAGCTACGCTTTATTTGCTCCAACACAACAACCTAATTTCCAGCACCACTGTTTTTCTTGCAATAACCCAACTCTTGCGAGATTGCAGAATGAGACTTCTCCTTGAGCGAGACTTGGTCACATTAACAAACAGACCACCAAAAGGTACGGAAAAACGTTTCATTTCTCTGTAGGGTCCTTTTCATAATGTTGTCAGACACTTATAATAACACTATGAGCCTGTCAGTGACGAAATCAAGCACTTTTTAATGGACGTAAATTGACAGCGCACAATTGCCTGTAGAGATTACACTGCAGCCTGTTTTGCTGCAGTGGTTTCTGTCAATACTGGACCAGTTTAAAACACTGTGGTCTCCCCTAATCACTGAGACACAAAAACACAGGAAAACAGGGCCCAGGTTTAGAAATACTTAAGTTTACCTTTAAGTGTTGTATTGAGGAATGTACCCAGCCATAACAGACCTGCCTGTGAAGATCTTGTGCTCATGGCCACATGGTACTGCCTGCAACCTGATCACTTTTTGGCATGACTTTTTGTAATTTTAGTTTGTCTTATGCTCCTGTATGTCCTTAGATATTTCTCTTCCACCAAAGTGTCATGTAATGTTTGTGTTATGCAATATTAATAAACCTGTGGAAGCATCTGGTGTTGAAGAAGGGTATACGTATGTGATATACTTCAGTAAATAAGAATATCTGTCGGCTAACTAACAGCTGTGTACAGTCATGGTGGGGCAGTGTGTGGAGTTAGCTGCTTGTTGAATTTTGGCTCATTGTCATTTTGGTCTTTGTAAGTAGACAGATATAACTCTGAACCTGTTAATAGCTGTGTGCATGTGTGTGTGTATCTGTGCACGCGCTGGCATGTATGTACAGACACCGCAGCCAACATTGTTCCCTGTGCTGACTACATAACCAGCAGCCAGTTGTTAACAAAAGAGGTCTCATTTACATGGCTGCAGCCCCCAGTGTCTGCACATTGTTTTTGACCGTGGCCCCACATCCAGCTGGCACACACACACACAGGCATATTTTCCCGTTACTCACGGTGGGCCTGAGTGACATTTACAGAGGCGTGAGTGACACACAGAATTTTAAAATCTGCACCGTGACAGAATTACATTTGGGTAGCGTAAATGCTCTATTTATTTCCACTGCAGATAGTATTTGGACTCAGATCGTTATATGATGGATCCTATTGTGTAGCATCCTTATAGGTAGGTCAGCCTGTGTGATTGGTGTAAGTTTCATTGCCTGCTGAGATGATACCCTTGTCAAAAAAATGCCACCAGGGAATTTTTTTAAGATAACCAGATGTTTCATGTGTATACTATGTGACTGATTTAGTGTCAGAATGCTTTGCAGATCAACAGAAAATTCATTTATCAAGCAAAAATGACGAACATTGTCTGATTCCAGCTTCTCAAATGTTGGAATTTTCTGTTTTTCCTCCCTTTAAATGATTGTAAATTGAGTATTTTGGGGTTTCAGACAAAAGAAGCAGTCCGAACATGTCAGCTTGGGCTTTGGGAATGCACGTTTAGTGTATTTCCCCTATTTTCTATTTTCATCACAGTTTTCGAGGTGTATGAATGTGTGAATTTTGAAAGAAACAAGCACAGAGAAAGGGAGAGTGTCTGGAAATTGGTGCCTTCTGGCTGCTATCTAGACACACGAAGGAGAAATAGGTTTTGTTAAAAAGCCATTGACCTTCCCGGCTCCTTGAAGAGCGAGGAGTGTGGGGTAACCGGCGTCGTCACACATGGGAAGCTGCCTTTAGTGGCCTTTTTTTGTCATGCTCGATTCCTAGAACGACAGCACAGTCTAATTTCTTTCCTGTGAAGCACGTGTGCTTGTCACTTGTAACACGTAGTGGCGATCTTCTGTTTATTCTTTCTGTATCATGTCTCTCTCTGCAGCTCCATCTTAACTGTTACATCTCTCTGTGTTTTCCCAGATGACCATGTCCCTGCAGGGGCTGGATGGGACTGAAGCTGCCACGGTAGGGAGCTCGACCTTCACCCACAACTAAACATTTCAAACCGCTGGATAATAGAAAATATTGTCCACACGGGTAAAAAAAGCCTCCAAGCGTAAGCACGGTGGTTGCTATGGCGATGCATAATTACTTGTTAGCACTTCTCAGTCTCATGTGTGGTAACTATGTACATAACAGATACAGCAACCTGTTCTTGCTGCATTATTATCGTGGCTTTATGGTTTCGCTGAAGTGTCTGAGCTCATCTCTTCCCCCAAGCATGGAGATTTATGATGTGTCGAACATTTATTATATTTAATGTCTGTGTTTAGGTCCTTGGTTTCTTCTCTGCCTCGCACTGACTTGTAAGTAATTAAGATGTGACTGTAAAATTCACAGAGGTCCTTCCATTTCTCATTGTAGGTGGCTGTTTCTCAGAAGGAGGCTGACATGCGCACAGTTAATAAGGTGTGAGATTTTTTATAATTTAATTTTGACCTGAAGCTGCAAATAAACATAATGTCATCTCACAAAATGATGTTAAAGCTGCTCTAATCAATATGTTTCTATTAATTTTGGATTAAGTGTGTGATGTGTATTGTGAATGGGGTCACTCACAGAGAATTATCACTCACTATGAAACATTTTAACGTCTTTAAAAGCAAGAAGAATGTTTTGATTTTATGAACCACAACCACTACTACTACTGTTTACTGTAGCAGGCTCATATTAACCCAGTTTAAAGCCACCACAGGCAGCTTTATTCAGCAAAACATGCTGATAATGCCACTTCATCAGGAGTTGGTGGAGACCAAAATGGAGCTAAAAAAAGAGCTAGAATGACAGTTAATGGTGAATGTTGGGGAGTAGTGAACTACATCTAATTAAACTAATAGTTTAATACATGTTTGCAGTTACTTGCTGGTGTTTCAACTATCTGTCTTATTTGCACTGGGATTCAAGTAGTTAACTTAGTTTTTTTGTATTAACTACTAAAATTTAGGGGCAATTTAGGGCCATTACAGGGAAGTTATGATTTTCTTTTATTAAATTACTTGTAATTGTAATTCCTGCAATTGACCTCTCTGACCTTGCCTGGTGCCACTAGGTTGACTCTAGTTTCTTAAACCAGGTGTCTGACTGACATATACACGATATACAAAATCAAAGATGATATCCCTTACACTTTCCGGTGAATACTGGGGTATTTTTGATTTTTTTTGTTTCCATGATGATCTGGCAACATGGCGGCGTGACTGTCGCTAGCATGACAGTGCATTTTAGTAGCTCCTATTTTAGATTTATTTATCTGTTTATTACTTGAATAATTCAACTGAGGATTTGTTTATTTTTTTTGCTGGTTTTTATGTTTCATCATAAAAATGATAATAAAAGGAATCTGAATCTAAATCTGTCTGACAAGTGGGAACTTTTTACAATAAACCCTATTGAGTGGCATTTTTGCTGGCATGTGACTATTACATTTTGTTATAATTTAGTATCACATGCAAACATTGTCAGTTTGGTCATTCACAGAGTAGTTTGTACTGCTTTTTTAAGTAGCTTTACATTTCTCTCTTGGGTAGCTTTGCTGTAGTTCAGCTTCTTCTTGCACAGGGGTAGGCAGTATGTGGCTTTGGAGCCACATGTGACTCTTTAGCCGCTCTCAAATGGCTCCCTGTGACTTTGAATTGAAATTAGGCCACATGTAAATGAATGACGGTTATTTTTTAACCGTGATTCTTACAATATCCAGTCGGAAAAATGTGTAACATGTAGTTCCACAACAAAGTTAAGAAAAATTTTGTCAACTAAAATGTGAGTCATAGCTAGGTCTACAGCCTGGCGCCTTTTCTTGGTGGCTTTTCTTGAGTCTTCTTAGTGAAGCCAGCTGTGGATTCCAATTCCAGCTTGGAAAAGGCTTGGAGGAAAATATAGAATTTAAAAGTACATAGATTTGTTCACTTTCGCTGCAATATACCAAATATTCATAACTATGTTACTGCAGAGTGGCAGCCTTATGGTAAAATATATTAATGATTACACCTGTTAGTAATGTTGATAAGCTAATTTAGACTTAATGGGGCTGTGTTACTATTGCTATGATAAGGCTCAAATATATTTTGCAGCTCCACACAGATATGATTTTTTTTAGGACCAGAAATGGCTCTGCTCGTAGTAAAAGTTGCTGACCCCTGTTCTAGTATGAAGTAACTGATAGCTTGCATAGCTATGCTTTCAAACTAGCTTCCTCAACACTGCAAATGTGACTCTAACGTGTGCCAAAATATAGTGATGCCCCAAAGTGGACAAAGAAAATAGCTGAGTCAAGTTCAAGTTTCACCTACTAGTTTTTTGAGCACCTCTCGTGGTCTTCATCAGCAGATGGCATTTGCTCAGTTGTCATAGAGATGGTCAGTTGTCATCACATGATTGACGTATGGAATTTCAGTCAGGTGTTAACAGGTGATTGTATAAAAGGGGGATTATAATCTCTGTTTTGGTTCAAGATTGATGTCAGATGTAACCGGCCTGCTGTTCTGCTCTGACTTTATCTTCAAAAGCTCTGAGGAAAAACCAAATAAGTAAACCTTACATACATTTTCATGCTCACATTGTGTCGTCTGTCATGAGGGAATACCGTAGCCATACCAACCATTCCAGCCTTATCTCTGCAGTAACACCATTGTCACTGTGCTGGTATGTGATACTGTGTTTTGTCCACTAGGTGGTGAAGCATCATGGAGGCTCTGGTAGCCAGCCTGTTGTCAGCCCCAAGTACTGCCCTGGGGTAAACAACAATCCAGGTTACCTGTGTGAAACAGGGCACTGCTGAGGAGAGACAGGCTGCTGCACCTACTATTATGAGCTGTGGTGTGAGTTAACTGACTGACTTAAGTCCTGAGTTCTGATGCATGACGAGAAAAATCTGGACACAAAGATCTGCTTGTATTTACATTCCTGTTGTATATTAAGAACAGGTTACAACACAGAAGTTACTGCACGTGAAATAATCTGACAGGGAAATTAAGAGAGGGATGTCGTGCAGATCATTCGACGTCTTATTTTCAGTGTAATTCAGAGATTTAATCTAGGTCAACCAGACAATCAGGCTTATAATACTCTATGTTTTACATTGCTGCACTTTGCATAAAAGCATCTGCCAAATAAACTTGATGTAAAACAACAACAACAGCAATAATAATTATTATAATTATATAATTTTGTATACTATACAAATGATGCACATATTGTACATATTTCTTATTCTTATTTCTATTTATGTATTGTAACATGAAAGATATAATTTTATATTTCTAAACTTTACGTACTGGTTTTATACATTGTAATGTGACATAATGCGCATATTTCTATATTTCTAAACACACTAGTTTTACACATTATTTTTACATTTCTATATTTTACATACTAGTTTTTTACATTGCAATATAGCAAAATGTATATATTTTACATTTCTAAACTTTATGTACTAGTTTTATGTATTGCAGTGTAGCATAATATACATATTTCTAAACTTAACATACTAGTTTTATACATTATTTTTATATTTCTATATTTTACATACTAGTTTTTTTTTTTTACAATATTCCTTAATTTCTAAACTTAACATACTAGTTTTATACATTATTTTTATATTTCTGTATTTTGCATACTAGTTTTTTACATTGTAATTTAGCAAAATGTATATATTTTTATATTTCTAAACTCTATGTACTAGTTTTATACATTGTGATGTAGCATAATATACATATTTCTATATTTCTAAACTTAGCATATTAGTTTTATACATTGTAATGTAGCCTAATTTACATATGTCTATATTTATAAACTTTCCCTACGAGTTTTATACATTGTAATATAGCATAATGTGCATATTTTTATATTTATAAACTTTACATACTAGTTTTATGCCTTGTAATATAGCATAATACACATATTTCTATTTTAATAAACTCAACATACTTGTTTTATACATTGTAATGTAGCATTATGCACATATTTTGTATATCTCTAAACTTGAGGGATTGTTTTTTATGATATAATGCTCTTACAGAACATATTTAAAAAAGCATTTAGCCTATGTATATTTGACATAGTGAATATTGCATTGTAACGTTTAGGTAAAGGTAATGGATAAGCCATATCTGGTCTTTTCCAAGTCAAGTATTTTAAATAAACACTAGGGGGCACCAAACTACAGCTTCAGGCTGCATGTTGCAATGCTGTTCAGTTAAATCTGATCATTAAATCTTAAAAATTACATCTGAAACTGTATGTTTCTCTTGGTCAGATCACAGGGTCATATATCATTTGACATTTACAGATGAAGTTATGGCTAAAGGTCATGGTTAAGATGACATTAAAGGATTTATTCTTTACTCGTACGACTGCAGACTGTTATAAACCACTGCATTCATGAGCTATCCTTGAATGTCTCAACTTTTCATTAGGTTAAAAAACAATAGCAGCATATTCGCCACTGAAATGAATTACCTGCCTCAAGTTTGAAAGCTGACATCATGGTCAAATTAATGCACAAAAGTTAGGAAATAAATCTAAAGTCGTTCAGTATGCTTTGGAATACAGATAGCAGTAATGTGGAACATAAATGAATTTATGTGCAATGGGATAGAATATCTAAAACCACCATAATTATAGTCCTTTTAAAACAGTGTATACCTCTGTGTGACCTGAGAAAATCTGGGATGTAATTCTGTAAGCGCGAACCGAACGTTTGTTTTCACGGTGATGTCAAGTTCATGCTGGGCCATTTCCTGCTCTCTGCAGGGTTCTGGCTGCTGTGGACCATGCTGATTCTCTTCAGCTGTTTCTGCGCTTACCGCCACCGCCGGGCCAAGCTGAGGATCCAACAGCAGCAGAGACAGAGGGAGATCAATCTGATTGCCTATAACGGAGCCTGCAACTACCCTTCCTCAATGCTGGACCTCAGTATGTTGGCTTATGATACTACATCTCACTTTTTTTTTTGGATCATGTTCTTCTGTCAGGAGCTGCAGAGAATGTTTAGACTCATGCTTGGGTCTGGACAGTTTTGTACTCACAGTTGAATACAAAAATCAATTTCTCAGAACTTTACATGTGTTCTGTTTTCCACAGTGTTCAGCTGCCCTGAGGACATTTTAAGAACTTAAACGGAAAAAACTTGTGAACCTCTGTTTGTTCTACTTGTTTTTCCAGGTTGTAAACTGCACTCAATCTAAAGAGCCATGATGCAGCCAAAATAACATAATATATTGGAAAGTAAGATGTCAACAAATCCCATTTCACTAACAAAGACCAGCAAAGTAGTTTTGGGATGACTAAGAATTAGGGAAAGACAGGGTGAGGGTTGTGTTTGATGGGATGATGGGGGTCGACCAGAGACGGTTATGGACCCGGGGGTCGAGCTTTGTGCTTCGTCAACCACCCTGGGGGTTCATAACCAGGACCTTCTTGTTGTGAGGCAATGGTGCTAGCTGTGGAGCCACTGAGCTGCCCTGCTGAGAAGGAAGAGAGGAGAAGAATGGAGCTTAGAGGAGAGGGTTGTGAGGACAGAGAGGCTGAACTCAAATCTCCACCTTGCGGACCGAGCCCTTGCAGACTTCAGTTGTATATAGTGTGAGGTATTTACCGTCATCACATAAAGTCTGTGCGGGCAGAGACTGCAAGCGGCTGATAGACAGCCCACGAGACTGTTTTACTCGTTGCCTTGGAAACGTTTAACTATCACTGCTGTCATATTCATCTATGTGTCATATAAGTTGATGAACAGTGCCTACTCATCTGTTCCTGCAGATAACATAGTCCGCAAGTCCGCAAGTGTGGTGAAGTCCGGACATTTGGATTCAGCAGACAGACAGAAGAGAAAGGGTTAGACACACCTATACAGGTCTGAGCAGGTGTTAATGAGGATTAGCAAGATGCAGGTGATTGAATTAGTTGGAGAGAGAAGCGTGTTTTTGTTCTTGTTCTAGTTATAATAACTTCATCAATAGACTAACAATAAAACTAACAATCTGTCAGCATGTCTTGGGCGCTCAGCTCCAAACCCACCAGTTCCTATCAAGGACGTACAATAAATATTTAAGAATGGACCACAAATATTAAGCTTCCTTTTCAAAAAAGACTGTTTTCATGAGACAGATGGGCACTGTAGGTCTTAGTAAGCATCACTCAAAGAAATAGTATACAGTGCATTTATCAGGGACTACGTTAAATCAGGGATCAATACACATTAGGTGGACTAGGTAGTAGGGTGTATGTGTGATGGACTGCCATTGTCCCACTGTTCCTACCACACCCACCTCTTGCTTGATCTAAATGGCTGCCTTTGCTTAGTGTCACACTGACGAGCCACACCACTGGAAAACAATGTATTTTCTGGTGACACATCTCAGTGTGATCAGGCCCAACAGGTCAGGCAGCATACTGCACGTTTGAGCTGATACGTGATATGTCTTTCGTCGCAGGTTTTCTGGCATCCTTCAAGTTGCCCTCCTATGAGGAGGTGGCAGCGCAGCCCAGCACCCCTCCTCCACCTTACAGCTCCGTCTTCGCCCTGCAGGGAGGTGCCATGGGGGGCCCTAGCTCCTCTTACCCCCATCATCACCACCACCGTCACCCCTGCCCTCCCTATCTGGGCCCCGGTCCCAGTGGCCTGACTTCCTCCCAGAGCTCTGACAACTACACCAGCTGCTCCTGCGAGTCGTGCTCCCTCACCTCCCCCTCCAGCACCTCCTTCTCCGTTCAGGTGACGGACGAGACATACGACAGCAGCCACATCTCCACGCCCAGTGAAGCAGGGGGCGACTGTGTTGTCATGCCGAGGGTTGGGGCCAGCTTCACACCAACTCCTTCCCCGACTCCTCCATCACAAGTTCCACCTGATGTTATACCCGTGGCTACGCCAGATGTCATACCAGTACAGAGACGCTCCTCTAATGGCAGTGATGGAGTCTCACCTTCAGCTCCACCGCTCTCTCTTCCTTTGCATTCTCGTCCTTCACACCCCTCTCGCCTCCCACTTTCTCCCCTCATTCTGTTATCTTCCCTCCCTCCTGGTCAAGTCCATCCTCTTGTCCTCTCAGACCCACTCGGAGCTGTGGCCATGCAGAGAGAGAAAGAAGAAGAGGCCCCGCCTTGTGTTCCCGCCCCGAGGCCCACTCTGTCTCCCCCTAAACAGGCTCTCTTCTCTGCACATGTTTCTGTTTTCACACATTGCAGCAACAAGGAGGAGCAAAAGCAAGAAAAAGAAGAGGAAGAAGAAGAAGACGACGATGAGGAGGATCATTTCCGGCATCGACGGCTAACGGGCGACTCGGGCATCGAGGTGTGTCGCTGCCACGTGAAGAGAGAGGCACAAGAGGACGAGGAACTACAGAAGGGGCATTTTGGTAAAGGAGGGAAGGAGGCTGTGAAGGAGGAGGAGAGGGCAGACCTGCTGCACGACAGCGTGGACTGTTCCCTCAGAGTGAAGGCTGCCGCTCAGTCACCACACCTGGACGACTGCGCTGAGCAGCGCAGCCACATCTCCTCATCCTCCAGTTTCATCCAGAAGACAGGCGAGGCCATCATCACTGTGGAGTCCTCGTAAGCTGACAGCCTGTTGATGTAGTGGAAAACAGTGAGACGTTTATGCCTGATAGCATCTTTACAGATCAAGACCAGTAGGTGAGAAGTTGAATCACTGAAAGAAAGTCTTGCAGGTTTTGAGGATGAGAAATGGATCCTCTTGTTTTTTCTGTATTCAAGCGAAAAGCTCCAAGAGAAGCCGACACCTGAAAGTCCTGTTTGTAGTTAATTTATTTATGGTTTGGGAGACGGTATAGCTTCCTCTCTAAAGTGATGAAAATGAATTGTTCTTTCTCTGTCTCTCCCCACATGCTAACCAAATCCATTTTTACCAGTGGATCGATGTCAACATCCCTTTGTCCCTCTGCTGTTTGCTTTTCATCTCTCTTCTCTCTGCATGACACAGCATTGGTAAAATAGCATTTTAGCTCCTTGAGAAGAAATCCGTAATAGTCAGTGGTTCCCAACCTGGGGTCAGGACCAGGGGTCATGATGAGTAACAGCAAAAGAAGATGCTACATAAAATTATACGCTAATGTTTCTCAAATCTTTAGGGATAGTTTTACTTCTCTGGAAATTTAAAAATGATTCAGATAAAACAATCTGAGAAGCGCAAATCAATCTTTAGCAGACCTGCTCACAACGTCTTGACTTATGCAATGTGTGACGGGTCACAAAAAGGTTGGGAACTGCTGGCTGATACACCGTATTACTCAAATCATCCCAGCAGCAACAAACAAGACTGTTTATCTTTAACTGATTCTTCAGTCGAATAGAATTATATTCTAGGAGTATACGAAGTAAAAACACGAAACAATTCATTTTCAAAACAGCAGCTCTGACATATTGTGTTATATAATCTTAATTTACTGGATCTTTCCAAGAGGTTCACACCTGTTGAACGTTATGTATCGCGGCCACAGGACTAACCTGCAGCCCTTTTTTTCTTGTAGGGTGAATTTTTGCTTTCACCAGCCTACTTCTCTCTGTCTTAGAGGAAATAACGAGAGAAGACGACTCTAATGACTGATTCACAAGGTGTGTGTTTTATACATTGTGTCTTACGTTGCTCCCCAAAGGAAAAAGGGGTGCAAACATTAATTATAACGTGTGGGTGGCAAAGATTTAAAATGGTATTATGATTATACATTGTTGTTTCAGACTGTTACATGATTATACTGTATAATGAACTGTGTGTTTGACTTTGGATTTTAATGTGTTGTTCCTGGTTGCCATTTTGTTCTGTTTTTTGCAAGGCAATGTAAATCTGATTCCTCCACGGACGGGACTGTTGAGTTTTGACGAGGCAGAAACTTTAAGCCTGATCTCATCACTGATAATGAATGTAAAAGGTTTATGCATCGCAACACAAAAAAGATCAATTGTTTACGGATCATTTTTATAGCACGACGCTTGGTGTGGCTTGGAAACCTCTGGAAAAGTTTCCTAAAACTGCAGCTAGATGATACGACCTGCCAGCTGCGGGCTTTGGGAAAACGTTTTGAAATGAAGTGCCCATTGTAACGTCTGTCTGAGTCGGGTAATCCCTGTGAGATGTCGAAGGTGTAAATGTGCAAAGTGAGGGTTTAAATTCAGAGTGATTGCTGTGGCTAAACACGTGATCACGTCTGAGAGTTGCTTTTCTCTAAACGTATCCTGGCTGATCCTGTTTTTGTACGTGAAATCATTCATTAGTTAACGTCCAGTTGTACTGACAGTAGGGACTTTGATTGATGCCCTGCACTTCCTATGTCAGTTAGTCGATCCTGGTTTTAGCAGTGAGAATAGCACACATCCTGTCTTGTGATTTACTCTGAGTACAAAATGTACTGAAGCGTAGAACAAGATTTACAAAGCGAGAATGTCTCCAATCATATTTCTTACATGTTTGTCTTGCTGTGGTTATTATGAGACAAATGGAGCTTTGTTGTGTCCTTGGCTCAGTGCAAAGCCAACTTAATTATCTGACACCTGAAGGCAAAGCTTTCAACTCATTTATGCGGACTGAAAATGTTGCCTCGGTTCAGCTCAGTAATATTCGTCAGGCAAATTATGTTTGTGTATATAGGGAGTTTAAGCAGATTTGGGGTTTGTTAGGAAGTTTGTTTTGACATCTTATAATCTCTTAGCTCCTGTGCAGTGACTCACAGGTGTGTCTCAGAGGTGACCAATGCTCTGACGGAGACTTTCCACCCTCTGAACACATAAGCATAAGGGCCTTTTGGCTGCTGTACATTTCTTTCGGCTAAAGACTGGACAGTTGTTATCTTCTCATTAGCTCTAGCCGATGTTTGTTGATCAAAGTATACGGTGCCTAGATGAAATTAGGCATTCTATAGTTTACTGCTGCTATGCGAGTGTGCGAGTGTTTTCTGTATATTGCGTATAGTCGTACGTCAAAATGGGCAAACGTTTTCTAGCAGTGCTTAGCGGTCTCTTTATAAAATATATACAGTACATGTGAGACTTGAAGAAAAAAAAATTGTATTTAGCAATAGTATTCACACTTTTTTTCCTTACTCTAGTTAATGCGGGTCGGTAGGAAATTAACTGTTGTGAAAAAAGACATTTACCTCTTTATAACTGATCCGTGAGCTGTGCTGGGCAGAGGCCCGTGATTGTACATAACACTGCATTTAAAATGCCTTTGGCTTAAGGTTTCTCCCAAGTGCAAACTCAGATTATCTGGTTTTACCCCAGCCCCAGTTTGTGCCTCTCATGTGGTGTCATTTCATTTGGGTCATGGAGATAAGCATCTGTGTTTCTGGAGAGTATCTGCTCTGAAAGTATTTCCAGATTCCTCTGGACTGCTCTGTCCATGTGGATAAAAAAATATAATAGCTTGGCCATCCGGAGGGAGCTCGGAGTAGAGCCGCTGCTCCTTCGCGTCAAAAGGCGTCATTTGAGGTGGTTCAGGTGTCTGATCAGGATGCCTCCTGGGCACCTCCTGTTGGACCACGTCCCACTGGTAGGAGGCCCTGGGGCAGACCCAGAACACACTGGAGGGATTACATACTGTATCTCATCTGGCCTGGGAACGCCTTGGGGTCCCCCAGGAGGAGCTGAAAAATGTTGCTGGGGAGAGGGACGTCTGGGGTGCTTTGCTTGGCCTGCTGCTCCCGTGACCCAGCTTTGGGTATGTGGTTGAAAATGGATGGATGGATGGATGGATGGATGTGTAGAGGAGTTTCAAGCTATTTCCCAAATTGCAAGTCTGTTTCCTATTTCACACAAAAATCTGAGCTGGAAATGTCCTTGCTTGGTTGATTTGGCTCAGGAAGTAGAGCAGGTTGTTCAATAATTGGATGATCAGTGGTTCGATCCCTGGCTCCTCTAGTCCGCATGTCCAAGTATCCTTGGCAAGATACTGAACCCCAGATTGTGAGTGCGTATGAATGTCTAAACCGATGAGCAGGTAGCACCTGTCTGTGAATGTGTGGGTGACTGTGTACGAATGGGTGAATGAGACTCTGTAGTGTAGGAGCGCTTTGAGTTGTCGGAAGGCTAGAAAGGTACTTTACAAGTGCAAGTCCATTTACCATTTCTATAATATGAACCAAATTGTAAACTTTTTTAGAATCAGTTATATTTTCTGTGATAATGTTCCTTTCTTTTTTTATGTATTTTCAGACAAAATTATGTATTTAACAGCCTTGAATCATAGTTAAATCTTGTTTATGTCGAGGCGAAAGATCTCAAGTTGATTCCTCTTGAATATTTTTGAACGTGTACGTGAGCAGTGTGATTTAGGGTAAGTGGAAAGTGAGCCCCATTTTCCTATATGATGATTTATGAGCATCAGATTTCCATAAAATGACCCAACAAAACTATGAAATATTCCGTCATGTAAATGATTTAAAAACTATAAGGATAAAAGGCAAGATTGATAATTTAATTATTATTTATTCAGATTTCTGGAGTATAACACAGTACATGTTTTGCCAGTGATTCATGAATTTCATTGTCGACATCAAGGTCTAGAGACTGTAATTATTCTTACTATTATTGTATTTTATTACTAACAAGAACAAGACATTTTGAGAAAACAACACATATGAACAACTTAGCTAACATGAATTAATAAATAACAAATAAGAGAATACTGTATGTGCACATTTGCAAATTCCATCTTCTTCTTGTTGTTTCTGTACTTGGCGCTGGATTTGCATACATTAGCATTTTCTTTCACTCTAATGCCCCCACACTCCACTCAACCATTTCCGTTTAAATGTCACTAAAAAAAGAACATATATTTTGTGTGTGTGTGTGTGTGTGTGTGTGTGTGTGTGTGTGTGTAAGGGGCCAAAAGGAAGATCTGCCACCGTTACGGTAGCTATTATTTTATCCAGATGGACAGAGTCGTCCTTTTTTTATGGATTTTTCAGGTATTTATTTTTCCAGCAGATGTTTACCTCTGTGACTCAAATGTAATCGCGACACACATGAGGCACAAACAGGGGCTGGTTTTACCCCAGCTCTGATTTTACATTGAAGCCAAACTGATCTGAGTTCAGTGTACATAGAACTAATGTGATTTTCTTTTGCCTTGTCAGCAGCTAGTATGTACAGACAAAAACGCCCAAACTCTACCCTCATTGCCACTGAAGGCCAATGCCTGATATAAGACTGTTACCTCGCTGAGTTTTGACTGCAAAGGACTGTTTACTTCTCCTTATCAAGATAGTATTTACTCTATATTTGTACTGACTTTATTTTGTAATGCCGAGAATTGAAGAATCGAAAAAAAGAAAATAAAAAAAACTAACACTGAGGACACGTTGGTACGACTGAACTGGTTTGCCAGGAAAAACACAAAACATCACACCCTGTTGATTCAGGATTACTCAAGACTGTTGATCTCCCGGGAAACAAAGTGTTCTCCTTTCACTCCTGCAGCTACGACACAGCGGGATTTATAGAAGTATCTATATGTGATTGTACGTGGAATAGTTCAGATTAATATTGCTACAAACTGTGGTGTTCTTTGAGGGTATCCTTGTGTGCAATTCTACCTGCAGCTCTTCAGTGTGTTGTGCGCATGTGTGAGAGAGTTATCGTCGGCCGTGTTGTCGTGGTGTTAAATCATTGTCGCTTATGATGAGGCCAAAGTTGATTGTCGTTGGTATTTGTTAACATGATATTTGTCAATATGAATATCCAAACATTTTTATGTCATCATGAATATCAAGTTGATTTTGTATCTTGGTGTATAGCATAGAGATTTCTGATGCTCTAATGTAAAATCACATTTTTAGATATCTGTTTGGTTGCACATATCCTGGTGCTTTTTTTCCCCCCCGGAGGGCGGGGTTGTATTTAGGTTTCATCCATTTGAGTTTTTTTTACATTGATGCTCACTGGGGTTCTACCTTGTTAGACATGGACATCTGCGCTACTTTATTCAACAGAAACTGTGGATTTTGTGTCAAATAAACGCTAACAAGTGCTACCATATGTGTGTCTGTACTTGTGTAAACATCATACACATGTGTAGTCGTAGCTTGAGCAATGTTCTGCTTTGAAACACAACAAATGCACTAACTTATTACAGCAAGGAATGAGCTAAAAAACACCCACTCCTGAGTAGCTGTCACTGTGACTCAGGATGAATCATCAGGCTGCACTCACTCTGAAAGCTTTGTCTTTTCAGGAGTAAACCGCAAGGAAAATTAGACTGAAATGTGTAATCGAGTGTGGTTGAATGCACCGCGTACAAGCAATGTCAAATACAACATGCAGTATGAGAACATCTGCTGTTCTTTGTTGTCACACATGCGTGGAATATATCAACTGCTGTGTGCTTTGACAAGACCCGTCAGTTTGCATTGTTCCTCTCACTCTGATGAGATGAGTAGGGCAGAAGAAGTCCAAGAACTTGCTGTCTGACTAAAAGTATGACTTACTATTATTACCAAGGCTGGGTTACCAACCAGCCAACTGCCTAGGATCCCCTGAAACTATACGGGGGCCACAAAAGCTCCAGAATAAATTGATGTCATTATCTTGAGGCCTGCCTGGTCCCTGTGTCAAAATCAGTGGTGTAGTGGAGGGTATAAGCAGGTATCCAAGGTGTACCCACTTCATTTTCTGTCTGTTTACCATATACCCAGCTATCAGCCACAAAGCCATTGAAATATATGTCAGAGTAATCCCACTTCTTTGGTCACCTACCCATCTACATGGTTAACACACTTCATCAACAACCGCAACACCACTGGTCGAAATGTACTTTAAAGACCTCCATTATTTCAGTATTTTAAGCTTACACATTGCATATTCCTAAATTAATATGTTCATTCATTCTTTTTCCGAAACCACTTATTCTCTTGAGGGTCACAGTAGGGCTGGAGCCTATCCCAGCTGACATTGGGCGAGAGACAGGGTACACCTTGAACAGGTCACCAGACTATCATAGGGCTGACACATAGAGACAGACAACCATTCACACTCACATTCACAATCAATTCGCCAATTAACCTAGCCTGTATGTCTTTGGACTGTGGGAGGAAACTGACACGGGGAGGGACAGAGGGGCTTCGCCACCTCGTGATTCAAAAGCCCCAGCCTGGGTTTGAACCAGGAACCCTCTTGCTGTGAGGCAACAGTGCTTTTGCAATGTCTAATTACCACACGAGAAACCAGGAAACCTAGAAAATCAGCACAAATTTCAAATAAATAAGGGTTTAATTTTGGCCCATTGGATCATTTTTTGTGCCATGATAATTACAAGCCTGATATGCCCTTGTGTCTTACTGTCAGTTTATAATAAAGACCCTGAGTCTGAGGGGTAGGTGTAGATTTGGGGGGGGAAGCAAAGAACACGTCCCTCTCAATATTTAAAACGTGTATCTGTCCCTGCCAATAAAAACATGGAAGTAGCAGAGGGCTTTTATTATACTGTAAATTGATGCAGAAAATGTATAAATTGGTTCATAGTTCTCCAGAATGCAGAAAGTTAAGCATATAATGCTCAAACTTTTCTAGCAAAGGACCCCCCTTATGTTCCATCCAATATTGAAATCAAACAAATGGCCTTGTTTTTATAGGTGAAAAGAGGAACCAGTAGCTCCAGTGGAGAGGACAAAACATTCCAGACAACAGTATAAAACATGGAGAGTGCCCCAACCTTTAAGTGAATGTGATAAGTTTGCAAAGTCAAAAGAAAGTTGGTTGCTAAATGCCAAGGGCACCTAAATGCTGACTGTCCATCACCTGACTTTAGCTGCACAGGTTTTCAGCACCATCTGGTGGTGTGGATTTGGATGACAAAAATACTTGAGAAGGTTTTTGGCATATACAGGAAGTTTGCCTTTAGTAGGCTACTCCCTCAAAATTGAGTACAAGGTGTTTAAGTAATTGTGGGCATGTTTGCCTTCATTAGATATGAAAGAGTTAGGGAACGACATGCAACAACATACAGAAGCATAGATAGGTGTAGATTTCAGGGGGAATGCAGGGGACATGTTGCCCTTAATGTTTTGAACGTGCATTTGTCCCTCTGAATAACAGCATGACAGTAGCAGAGGACAATTTCACCACACATCGGTGCAGAAAAGGCACAAATTGGTGCATAAACATTCACCAGAATACAGGAACCAGATGCTAAAAAAAATTCTTGTAGAGAGTGTGTGTGTGTGTGTGTGTGTGTGTGTGTGTGTCCTCCAATCTTGAAATGAAACCTGCAGCCTTGTCCCAAACTGGATACAAACGACAACATCTTAAACTCCCAGGCATCACACTTAGAATTATTTTACAATAAATAAAATTCATAAAGGTGGGTTGTTTGTAAAGCCAACAAAGTAACACATCCAGCAGCCACTGAATAATTCAATTTTATTCACAAAAAAAAACCCAGACAAAAAAATATACAAGTACAATTCATAAGAAATAGTGGAGAGGTGAAATGAGAATAGGGGCCCAGACATGGAGCAAACTGTGTTTTAAAATGTGTTTATGAACACGTTATGTAGATTTAAGTAAAGAGAGTACAGGTAGTATACAGTTTTTACAGCAATACCCACAAAAAATAGCTAAATACTTGAAAAGACTGTGATTAAATGTTAAATTTAAGGTCATAAAATCCGAATATTTCCTGTTAAATTATACTTGATACATTTTAATGTTAATTTTTATAAGTAAAATCCATGTTGACAACAAAAGGAAGGAGAATTACATAATAGAATAATTAAATACATTCAAAATAGCTCACGATCAGAAATACAATTATAAAATACATAAAACATGATAGATGCTAAATATTATAAATATGTGTGTGAATGCTGGTCCTTTTCTTTATGATAAATCAGTTCAAGCGACAACAAAAAAAGCTCTACACTAAAGCAGACGTGTTTATCCTGCGCTGTGATTGGTCAGAGCCGACCAGCACCCACCCCCTCCACTAACCACTCCCCATCCGCGTTTTGTTCACGTGACTCCTCTCAGCTCGCTCTTGCAAAGTTAAAAACAGACTTTGTTTATCTTGCAGGTTGTTTGCTGAAATGCTCTCCGACTAGTTAACCTACTTTCCTCCCGTCAGCGCTCTTATTTTACTCTTCCCAGCCGGAAGCGCTGAGAAGAGTGCGAAACCCTTTTGTTATTCCACTCCCTTATTCTTTAGTATCTCTACACTTTTTGTAATTCAATTTATTTATTTTTTTTGGTGTGTGTTTTCTGCAGCTGACACCGTGCAGTGTGACAAAGAGGGGCATCAGGACTCTAGTTTATCCCCTGCAGCACGTGCAGTCTGCCCAAAACACTTCTCCACTAAACATCTTGTTCTGCAGACATTTTGACTTGCTGTTTTTTGGGGGGGATTTGTTGCAGCTGAAGCTCGACAGGAGGAGCTCACCGTGAGGATTTTTTAATCGAGCATTTGGGAGAGAGAGCGCCATGGCGACCGAAGTGGATACGTGGACCTCCGCTCCCAAAGCCGACGGTGAGTGAATGAATTCAGCCGACATCGGGTGCACAGTGTCGGGTAGCCACCGAGGGGCCTGCTCGGCGTGCTCTCCCTCATCTATTGTCCGTGCATGGGATGGGCTGCAGCGCCAGCCATGCTCCACCATGTGCTCCGTGTACATCAGACACACACATATACACACACTCGCACAAAACACTGGAGCAACAAGCTCTGCACGCGGGTGCAGCTTCGCGCGTCGGACGCTGCGACCAGCACCAAACTCCATTTGCGTTTTGTGCGTTTTAAGAGCTTTCAGACGCTGTGTGTTGTTGTGCTGCTTTTACATTTAACCCTTTCGCGTTTCTGATTGGACGAGGCCACAACACTTACTTCCGCTTTGACAAGTCGTTGTTTGCACACACACTAAAGCAGCTGCTGGGTGCATTTTTATACACACAGACATTCAACTGTTGTTCATTCTCGGTGTTAAACAAGTGCATGCATGAGTAAGACTGAGCTGTTTTGGTTCCTGTTTTTTCCCTGGTCGTGCATGTGCAAATTGGTACAGTTCCGCAATCACCTACTTCGGTTGTGTTTGAACCTGTATTTAAACCGAGGCGCAGCACAGGAAACATCCTGTTCCTGCATGATATTATATATTTCAACAAGCAAATGCGACTCGATCAGTGTCATCATTGGAAAACTGCATCAACAGGAAGCAGTTTTCTGATTTAAATCGCACAATCTATGCAGTAAACATATTTAATTTATCATCTATCTATCCACCATGCGTCCCCAAATGCGCACACTGTCTGGATAGTGATTGTGTTTACTCCACAGTGGCTGTGTGAATGATATTTGAGCCCATGGTACACAAGGTTCCGTGCTCTCCTCGCTCAGCCTGCCGATGACGTCGACATGTATAGCCTACTATAAGAGCCAATAGGAAAGCCTTACATAATCTCTCCGTGGCTGTGTATTTAAAGGTTACATAAGTCATAGAAATGTATTGTTAGCACCACAACCAGTTCACCCTGAGATATCACACATGTGAGTGGCATTTAACCTCACACACACACACACACACACACACACACACACACACACACAGAGCTGATTCACCTGAGGTTACACCGAGGTAAATCAGTGCATGTGAGAGTGAGCCACCACATGGTTTGTTACTGGTGTGTTATGGTGGTGAGTGTGTGAAAGCAACTGGTGCTTGGGTGCACAGATGGGCTGTTCTGCATGTACTTGACTGACCTTTTTTCTCAAGGAAGGTCAGACACGCTTCATTGAGCAGCCTCTGTCGATTAGGTGGTCACACACACACACACTGTCAAAGACTCTATTGTCTGCGCTGGGGAAAAAGGGGCAAAACAACTCCTTGATCCGTTGTGGGTCACTCTGGGCACTGGACTCACACAGCAGTATGGGGAAATATGTAAAAGCTGAATGGTATAGCACACAAGTCTTATCAGTTATGCATCTTCCCCAATGATCAGTTGTTCTGGGGTTAAGGATCTGCTTTGGGGCATAACCAGCGATTATGGTTTACTATAAATTAATTAGTTGAGTTACCATAGCCCCAAGTGATGTCTTAACAATTCTAGTCTGACTAGCAGACATATAACCCAACGTATTTGATTTTAAAACGATAAATATCTGTAAAAATCAAGCCTCTTGTTGCATTTTTTATATCTAAAACCATCATATTTGTTAAGTGTTAAAGTTCTCAACTCATGGTCCACCTACTAGCGTATTCGGAGCTTTCACGCCACATCTTGAAGCCTCAAAGGAACAGTTCACCCCCAAATCAAAGATACATATTTTCCTCTTATCTGTAGGGCTGTTTATTAGTCTAAATTGTTTTGCTGTGAGTGTCAGTGTTGGAGATATCGGCTGTTGAGATGCCTCCCTTCTCTCAAATATAAGTAGATGGCGCTTGGCTTGTGGTGCTCATAGTGCCCAAAAAAAGAAAAAATACATTTGAAAATCTCAACAGCAATGTCTCTTTCCAGAAATCATGACCCAGTTACTCAATATTATCCACAGACCTTGTTGTGAGCAGTTTCATGAAGCAACCATATATTTTCTATGAATTACACCCGTCAACCATATTACCATGCAGAAGAAAGTGTGCATCTACTAGGGGTGGGATCACCGAAGGATCCACGACACGATATTATCGCGGAACTTAAGTCACGATACAATATTGTTGCGATTTTAAATATGTTGCAATATGCTGAGTATTGTGATAAAATATATTGCAATTTTATTTGTAAATTATGTCCCCAAAGGAAATCTTTGTCCACATCTGTATTATCCAATAAGATAAAGTTTTGAGTCTGTTCACCTCATTTCAGCCACTTTTGAGTTTTTCAAATGTACTTTTTGGGCGCTTTGAGCACCACAAGCAGAGTGCCATCTAGTTCCATTATATTGGAGAGGAGGCAGACAACTTTACAGCGATATCTCTAACACTCTGCAGCTTGCACCAAAAAAATCTAGGTTGATAAAGAGCTTGACAGGTAAGAGAAAAAATATGTATTTTGGTTTGGTTGTCAGGTTTGTGTTTTCCATTAACCTTTATTTTTATCGCATGAACTTTGAGAAAGCATTTTTGGTATTTTGACTAAAGGAGAACATAAACTTTCTTCAACCCTCAAGCAGAAATTCAATAATCGGCAAAACACAGATATCAGCGCCCAAAGAGTTTGACTGGATTCATTTTATGTCACTGGACTAAGCGACGTATCAAGTAATATTTCACCATAAATAATGTGTTTGGCCTGGATGAGTTTGAGGAGCAACACAGAGCCGGTCTGTGCTGTGAGAGGTCGCCTATAGATGCAGCTTTAAAGCCTGTTTAGAGCCCCACCTGTTACAACATTTCCACAGCGCCTTGTGTAAAATACATGCGTTACAAGCATCATGGAAGAAACCCACTGCCATAAGTGTCAAGCCAGATCTCTTCGTGGCCTGCTGAGTACACATTGTGTTATGTTCTTGCACTCTCATCTTTTGTTAACCCCCCCCCCCCCACACACACACACACACACACACACACACACACTCATGAAAATATGTTTGTGCACACCATCCGTTTGCTGCAAGACCTTTAGTTTGGAAACTGAGCGAAGTGGTGCTTTACTGTAAATCTGTTGAAGCGATCTGCTCATAATTAAAGAAAAAAACATTATCGACCTCTTAACCGTTTATCTGCGTAGCTCTAATCTGTTGCACGCACTTCCCCGTGCACTTTATCTGTTGTTGCTCTGCAGCTGTTACGGAGGGTGACTCAAGAAGCACAGTCAGCAAATCTGTACACCTTTCCATTAAATTAACTTCCTTTTTCTCACCCTGCATTAATAAAACGAGAAACAAGCTTGTTTCACACATGGCAACCCTTGTGCTTTTATTTGTGGAGCATTCTGCGGCCAGTTCCCCAGCTTCTGTTGTTGCTGCTGTAAATTTAAACATGAATCATCATAAGCACACAAGTTCAGGCGATGAGTCCAAAACATGTTTTTAAGCAAAATTTTGCCCCAAGTCTCCTGTCATTAAATGAAATGACAGTTAAACCCCAAGGACGTCCACACCCTTTACTCCTCTGATAGATTATCACCACAGCAACATATACAGTAGAGTTGTTTTCTACTGTCCACTGTGTTTTTGTGCAGATGCTTGTTTGACCTCAGAGGACAACACACATGTTTTTGCTTTATGTTTTTCTGTGCGTGGGTAGACAAAGATCTTTTCTAGTAGATCTTTAAAAGCTGACCTTTATTTAACTAGGATATTAAAGAGACCTATGTTTCCTTTTTGAGAGTCTGGGCCACTGTTGCATTTCACAAACAAATGCAGACTAAACACCAAAAGGAGAGGAATAAAGAAAAGGAGGAGATGTATGAAGGCATTGCAGATGCATCTTAGAATAATAACAAACTGCCCTTAATGCACTACCTCTGTCTCAGTCCTTGTGTACAACCAGCTTGTGAAAACAGATCTGTTGTTCTTTGCATGTTACCTGGAACATTTTACACAGAAGTGTCAAAATTTGTGATGTGTAAGTTGCTGGCAGTCTTGCATTTGTTGTAATGTATTTTTTAAGATGCACAGAGACCCACAAAACTTGGCTCATTTCACAAAGGTCTACTGAATCTAAATGAAAGCACTTTGTGAGATTAGTTTAGTTGCTTCTGACAGTAGGCGTGCAAAACAAATCTGTCATCTACTTAGAAATGTCTCGCTGTCTTTTAAGAGCCCCTACAGACATGATTTAAAGCTGGGATAGGCAGAAATCTGGAAAAGGCAAAAAATTGTCAAACAAGAAACAATAAAGCCTCCACAATATAGCATTTTAAGTCTTGTGTGATTTATCCTGGCTTCATATGAGCAGAGGAAATCTCCGCTCGTCACTAGGCTAATTTATACAATGTGAAATGCCATAGGCTGGCGCTAATAACGTTAGCACATTATAGGCTATTTGTTTGGAAAACATGTTTAGTATAAGACAGTTGTTTTGTCAGTGAACCTTGTGAGCTGTAATGGAGCTGAAATTTGTAACGTTACCTTTTGTTAAATGTTGCTGTTGTCGCTGGCTTCGTATGAGTAGAGGGAGAGTTCGCTGGCCGCTAGGCTAATTCGTACAATGTAAAATTCCATAGGCTTGTGCTAATAACGTTAGCATGTTATATTTGTGAGGAAAATGTGTCAAGCAAAGGACAAGTGCTTTGTTTGTTTAATGTGTTACTTGGGTGTGTTTTGAATCAACTAAACTTAACAGCACTTCACAGAAACCTCTGCCACCGACTAGTGTTTTGGAGGTGTAACTGCAGAGTGACACAACCACACAAGTATAAATGCTCACAACGGCGTAGGCCACACACAGAGGCTATGGCGTAGGGTCTGCTGCACATATATAAACCCTGCTTAAGTCCCTCCACCAGACAACCAACCATGGGCTTATGCACATTTATCACACCACAGATAACACAAGAATAAAGTAGCTAGCCAGCCCACCTGTGTCGCTTCCCACAGTTGTGAACTGCTTGGTGAGAAGCAGAACGGGCAGCTCCAGAGTCATTTACCTTTGGCAAGTGGTTGTAATGTCAGGACAACGCCACTGCCGCTGTGTGTCATAGCAGGCCAGTGGCAAACAGAACCAGGCCTTCCCAGTGTAATGGCAGCAAAAGAAAGTTTGCTGATCTGGCATGGAGGCGCTGCTGTCTAGTCCCCGAGAGCTGGGGTTTGCTCTGGCTGGATTCAGGTTGCTGCAGCCACTGACTGGGGGTTTGTCTCTGAAGCTGCTGCATTTTCTCCTCCTGGTGAGGTGGACTGTAGTGAAGGGGGGCGAGGCAGATGACACAATGTGAGTCGAGGCTTTAGCTAACATTAACTACATGAATGTGAACCACAGCTGTGAGCCCCAACCTCTGGTTAGCAGAAGGCTGAAGCCATCTGTGGAACACTTGGCCAATATTGACACATTTTGTTTCATTTATTGTCAGACTCCCTCTTCCTGTTTTGGGGTTGCTTTGTAGTGTGTGGCAGTTGTTGCCAGTTCTGGAATGGCAACTTTCTCTGCAGGACTCTCTGCCGTTGAATCCGGCTTTACCTGAAGGGACGTACACACGTGTCTGCATTTGAAAACAGCCAGGAGGAGCCCCCTCTCTCTGAAATGACCTGTAATTTGCCAAAGTCTCCCGTCATGGTCTAGATTTTCTAAAGCCTGAAAAAAGTCAAAAGGAGGTGCAGAAGTCTAGTGTTCTCTTGGTCCACTTGAATTACAGTATGCTCAAAGTTTAAAGGGAATTTTGCCCAGTGACGCCAGACCAGAGCTTTCAGACATGTAAACACCTCTGCTTTTGTTTTTCCACAAAAAGTTTGATGACCTAGTTAGAAATAGTTGAATTGCATGTAGTCTTTTAAGCTATTTGAAATATCCATGATGTATGACTAAGTAAATGTTCATTTCACAAGTTCACCTGCAGTTGTGAGCACAGAGAAACTTTTCCAGTTCAGCAGATGAATGTCAAAACAAACTTCGAGAGTCAAACGCGGCACATACACCACTCTACACATACAAGTGCAACAGGTTTTTGAGTGGAGGGGTCTAACTGTAATGCCGTTGAACTTGACACAATCTCCCAAAAATGTCAATACTGCAAACATTGAGTAAAACCCAGGTCTGCCCCTCAGGAGGAATGTGCTCCACTGACCTCCCTCTCATTCACAACTGCTACTGTATGCAGACCTAAATCTAAATGCCTCAACGCTGCGGCTCGCTCTCTGGCTGTGGAACGCTCCCACACAGCATGTGGGGCAGAGGTCCTCTGCTGGTCTGCATCTGGCTGTGTGTTTAAGAACTGGTTAAATGTGGGGGCGGTTTGAAAACCATTATGACAGTGCTGTGTGGTTTGGCATTCATTTTGTCGTGCTCTGGTAGGAGTGCAGGGTTGAAGACGGCAGAGTTTGTTGCTGCAGCTTTATGAGGCCGATGTTGACACACAGACCTTTCATAGAGTAAACATTAAGACAAAAACTTTTTCAGCAGTTAAAGTCGGCACACAACTTCTTCCACCAGGTTTAAAAGCTGAGTTTGCTCGGCTGCGTTTTGTTCTGCTCGTTTTGCAACTCTAGTCTTGGCAAACTGCTCCCACTTTTTTCTGCCTTCTCATTTTTCTGCTCTTTTCCAATTGGCCGGTCCTGTGTATGGCCCGCTGCCATTGGTTAGTTTCTTATTTATTGTGCTGGCAGGCCCCATGGCCTACATGAGGGAAGGAGGAGGAACAGGAGGAGGAGATGACACATGGCTGGCTGTTTTACAGATTTCGAAGGCCAAGGGTGTGGTGCTGCTCTTACAGCAACAGGTTAATTCAGGGAGGTGTCCCACTTAGCTCAAAGGTGCTTCCTTTCATTTGTTATTCACATTCCAAGTCAAACATTCGAGATCCTTTGAATACCTTTTTTAAAAAGCGGTACATGTTGTTGTTTCCCTGCACCAGATAATAATAACCCCAGTTGGTACTTTTGCAGCACACAGACTGCAGCTCCTTTTTAGATTGTTAGTTTTATCTGTGGCTTGGACCGTCTCCCCCTCGCCTCCTCCCTCTCCGAGCATTTCCACTACATGTCCTGTAATCTATAGGGCCATAACTCTAACTTCCATTTGGGCCCATGCACAAGAACTGTAAGTATTCATTACACCCTCAGACATTCCTCCTCCTGCCGCTTTCCCTCTCCTAAGGCCCTGTCATGTGACCAGTCATGGACCCAACCATGCCATATGTAGTCAGGTTCACTCCGGCTGCTGCGGACAGATCGCGAGAAGACGGGAGGAATAAAAAAAAATGTGGTGTCAGCATTTCTCTAGCATGTGTTCCCCTTTGCTCCCTTGCTCCTCCCATGCCTGCAGAAACACTCCTGTCCCACTTGTTGTTGTCTGCACAGCTCCAAGAAGCAACCTGGTCAGACGTTTTGTTACTGCATACATTTCATCACACCCCCAGGAGAATAGTGTATTGAGTTACTAAATGTCACACTTAAATGTTACGCCTGCTGATACAGCTGGTGAGTGTCGCAAGACCGTGTGTGCGAATTTGTGCTGCCATCTTCTCGTGTAGTGTCTTGGGTGTTAAGTGACCTTTGGCTTGATGTGTGCAGAACATGGCTGGGACATATGGAGGTGGCTGTAGAACATGCAGCCAGAGAGCATTGTGTTCATGGCCTGAGCCGGTGTTGCTGCAGTGTGAAGATGTTCGGGCAATTTGCTGAATGCACCCGAGATTATCTGGCGTGTGGTAGTGTTTTGCAATGCAGATGAATCCAAGCCAAACAATATCAGCAGGTTGACCATAAATATGTAATGTCTCACTTAAGTTATGATCTGTCTGATGTATCACATATCCTCGTAACTGTTTTTGTCTAAGAGCTGCGCCCTAATTTTTTTACTGATGTTTTTATGAACATTGTTGCAGCAGATCAAATGTCATGACTAAGTATTCCTTTTGCATTTACTTTTTTGTGGTTTAGATCCTTACTAAAAGACCAAATCAATAACTTGCGGGTAGAAACCCTTGGCATACATAAAATGAAATGGTGCTGAGCAAATGCTGGGCAGTGGTTAGCCACCAAAGAAAAAAATGTATCACATCTATCAGTTTAAATTAAGACTTTCCATAAGATCGAGTTCTGACACTGACTGTAAGTTCTGTCTCTTTGTGTGCCGTGTGGCACTCTCATGTCTTTGCCAAACAGTTGCTATTGTGTCTACATATGGTATGGTGCCTGACATATGGTATGGTCCACAAAACGTTGCAGGACTCTGCTTTAAGGTATTGACCAAAATAACCCAGTACCAAGTAGCATGGAAATGTCTCTATTCACACGATACCTGCATTCGATGCGTTTTGTAACCAGACCTAGAAAAAAAGACAATTTGTATGGTTTTGCTCGCAGCCAATCACTGCAAGTTTTCTCCGATTCATTGCGACACGTGACTGGCCCACTATTGCAGAAGCTACATTAGACATATAGTCTGTGGTGAGGTGAAGTTGGAGCAACCAACCAAGATGGCAGTTTAGCATTCTGAGATACTATCCAAACATTCGTGAGTATGTCTATCAGCATCCCTTTAAGGGTACTGCTATTGGTACTGTTATCGTAATGCTTTTTTAACGCTACCCAGCTCAAAATAGTGTACTTGTCTGGCCAACAATGTCTACAGTGACTACCACATGGTTTTCTGGCAGTACAATAACTGAATAATCCTTTACAGTGTTTGTTATCGTCTCATTGTGGCAACATCCAAACCGTTTCACTGTACTCAACTGTTCTATTTTTCTGACCACAGGGGTGTTCTCTTTAGACGACAACCTGGCAGAGGCCGACCATCCCTACAGCGTTGACGATGATCTGCTCAATGAGGCGGAGGTGAACGGTAACTGGACGCCTCAGGAGAAAGCACTCCACGAGGCGCGACTCAAAGCCAAAGCCAAGCGCCGCCTGCGCAAGTCCTCATCCCGCAATTCCACCAGCGAGTCCCTCTCTGAGTCAGGAGAATTGGCAGGAAGTGACCCAAACAGTCCAAAGGGCAAAGTCAACACCAATGACCGCAAATCCAGGACGGGCAAAGGCAGAGGCCTGCCAAAAAAAGGTACATTTGAGCTGGTGTATGCAGCTTTCTGCCACAGCCTTTTTACAGGGGACAGCCACAGGCGCTGTGTCCAGACGGGGATATTTTCCATAACCTGAGAAAGTTCAGCTTAGTAGAGGAGCGCTTAAGACATAAGCTTCCTGTTTTTCTAGTGACTAGCTAACAACAATAAACACACAGGGTTTTGGTGTAAATAATCACCTGACAGGTTATAACCTCATCCTCCAGACATACATTGGAAATAAATGTTAGAGACACTAATTATCATATGAAGATATGACGACTGTGATTTGTGTACATGTGCTGATTGTTATCAGTAGCGGTTAGTTTGGTTGTAAATGTGTTGCATCACTGGCACTAATTGTGTTTGTGGCAATGGCTTTTTCATATTACCATAACAGTGAACATGTCTTTACGGTTTGTCTGCTGTCTCCAGGTGGGGCAGGTGGTAAAGGAGTTTGGGGGGCAGCTGGGATGGTTTATGAAGATGAGGAGCCTGATATGCGGGACCCCAACTACGATGAATCTGCTCAGGTGAGTTAGTACAGCACACTTGGACTGTTCATGAAGAAAGGGTTGGGACTCTCACAAAAACCTTGGGTGCCTGTGCATGAAAAGCGAAGACTTCAACTGATGGCCAACCAGCATGTACGTTATGCTCCTGCGTGAGAAAAAGTAACTCACCAGCAGATGGCAGTAGTCCGTATTTGTCATCCAAAAAGGGAAAACTGTCTTGATGCTAGTTAGCCACTTAGCACCTTAACAACACAATCCAGTGTTGAAAGAGCAGAGCATATTTTGATTTTAGCTCTGTTTACTTTCCTCAATTCCATTTCTCGTCTTATGCACTGAGCTGAACTGCCAATCAGAGTGCTTTCATTCACCAATAAGCACTGCCATCGACAAGTCAATCCAACATGCTGATTCAGCCAAAAAAAAAAAGCAGACAGGGGGCTACGGTGTGGGACACCCTACACGAACTAGGGTGACGGACGCTCACCAAAGGCCCAAAATTGACCCACCGGCCGATTGTCAGCTTGGTGTGTCAGGGCCTTTACAAAGATGGCAGTTTAAAGGTGTTTACAGTTAATGAGAGAAGAGAGAGAGATGGGAAATGACACGTAACAAAGATCCCGGCAGAACATGAACTTGGGATGCTCTGGCTCATAGATGTCAACTTCACTCCTAGGCTACCGTGGTGCCTGGGTTTTGTGCTCAAAGTTGGGGAAAAAAATTACATTTGATATGATCCCCACTGAGCTGTCTGTGATTAGATGTCATACGTTTACTTTATTTCCTTTGGGCTGTGTTATTTTTATCTCTTGTGCCCTCAAATCAGTCGTTGACAATTTAGATCCGCGGAAGGTGCGCTCAAAAACAAGAGCGATGATGTCGTTGTGTAGGCAGTGGTCCGAAATCATTCACTCATTCACTACTCCCTACTCACTATGTAGGGATTTTTATTTAGAGGACTACATAGTGAGGAGTGAGTGATTTTAGATATAGCCTATGACAGTGCTGGTCGTGGTCGCTCAGCAACGTTAGGCGCAACATGTCTCCATGCCCTTGAAAGTTGGCACAAAGTAGACACATGAGTAGCACGTAGTGCACATTTTCCATGTGTTTAAAGACGCGGCACGTGTGCTGGCCCTGATAAAAACAAAGTTTGCAATGCAAAGTTTGGAGTGCAGCAACGCGTGCCGCACATCGTGTGACAAGGAACAACTAATCACAGCTGGCAGATCTCTCTCCCTTCTCCCATAAATATCAGTCTGCGATAACTATGGAGGAGAGAGGCTTCCCTGAGCTTTATATCTGTCCCATGGATAATATTTTAAGCCTAATAATACACACTTAAAATATATGATGCTTTGCTGGTAATGGTTGCTTAGCAACGTCAGGCACAACCTGCCTTTGCGCCCTTGAAAGTTGGCATGGAGTAGGATAAAGGAGCACTCCAGCGTCTAGCCTTGAGTTTTCAGCAGCAGTAGACACATTCATAGACTATCCATGGCAAAATGTGATTTCAAAACCTCGTTTGCATCGCAGCTACTAGTAGTTTTAATTTTCAGTGTAAGGGCCGCGACATAGCTACATTTTTTACATTTTGACCATCATTACAGTTGATCTGCAACCAAGAGATATCTTGAAATATTTATTATTTTGGCAACTATTGTGAGAAAATTGAGAATTTCACAATTTTACTCCAAGGTTCCATCTTCAGATAACTTGTTTTGTCCAAACCGCAGTTTAAAACCCAAAATTGGCAAAGCTATTTGACAGTTTTGCCTGAAAAACGACCCGGAAATGTTTTTTTTTTTTTTTTTTAAATCAAAATAGTCGCAGATTAATTTTCTTTCGGCTAACTAATTGATAATTGTTTCAGCTCAATTCAAAGGGGACATTTTATCGTCTTTTGCTCCGTCGATCCTTTACTTTTTAAACAGTTTTTTCTACCTGAGCATCAACAGTCTGTACACGCACACTCTGAACTGCCACCGATGAAAGAGCATCACCAGCAGAGGTTAGCTTATCACAGTTGTTGTTGCTCTGACCTGTTGTTAGGAGCAGCTTTTTGTTCCAAAGAGGCCCACTGATCAAAGCTGACACCTTTTATTTCCTGCGTCAAACAAACGTGCTGATGTTGAAGGGCTGCTGCTGATGAAACACACTGAATATAAAAGAGGCTTTGCTCCACGAACAAGATAATGACTGTCCGCACTCAGACAACAAGCATATGCACTCTTGCATTTATAATGAATTACACAATGCGCTGATCACTTGTGATGAGTTATCTTATGATGCATACGATCCAAGAACATTTATCATAACTTGAACTGGATAATTAATCTGTCGCTGTTTGATGTCAAAGTCCGCACGATTTGGCCGAAGCTCTTTTTTGAAACACACCTGCTCACATGATGGCTTCATCCAGGTGGCTCCGTCCCATCACAATCAACAGTATTTAATCTTTAACCCTGTTATCAAGCAAATGCTGGGTGGGATGCTGAAGGCTGAGTTTGTTTGTCTCCTGTTATGGTCACACTGACTGAATGCAGAGTGGGAACGTGGCTTCTGTCAGTAAAAAAAGTTGATAATGACTGAGAAAAGTGCAGTGCAATTTGGCCTTGAATATTGAGGGAGCATGGTGGAAAGATGTCAGTGTGTTAAAGGGGAACTGAGACAGAGTGGTACAGAAAAATACACAGGACATGTGCAGACAGTGTCCTTTGAGTCAGTCTGAGGGAATCACCTGATAGAGGATGTCTTTAATGGCACAGGTCATCCTGTATGTGGGAAACTGGAAATATTATTTTCGTAGCTGTGTAATGGAAACTAAAGCATGCCTTTCCTCTCTTTTGATCCATCTTTGGTTTAAGTATCATTGGCAGCCATGTTGAGACAAGAACTGTGGATACAGGCTCAGTCTTTTACCTCTATGTAGCCTTAAATTATTGTTTTAGTTCTCTCGCATCACCGTCTACAGTCTGCATGAGCAGAAAACAGGAAAGTGAATCAGCGTTTTGGGCTTTTGGCTTCAATCCTTCTTTATACTGATATTTATTTTCCTGTTATATAAACATGGGCTTATCAAAAGAGGTCAAGACAATCGAGTAATTATTTTTTTATGCTCTAGATTTTACGGAACATTAAAACTGGAGCCAGCTTTTCTCTTAAAAAGGCCAAGGAGTTATTCTCCTGTTATTATAGTGTGTAGGCTGATTTTTTTAAGTCTGTTGAGTCTGTGCTAAGATTCAGTGAATCAGTGCTTCCTATTGTTCTCCAGGTTAAGCAAAACATCACCTGAAAGGTTAGTTGGACCGGTTTTAACTGACCTCCTTGGCATTTATTGATGCAGGAGTTGAGACAAAAGATGGATAAAAGAGGGATTTAGTCTGCCATGTTAAGTGTTTTTTGATAGTGTAAACTTTAGGCTTCTGCTGCTAATAATGACTGTGCATCCATTTTTTTTTTTGTTTATGGATAGATGGGTTTTTTATGCCTCCGCACTGGTGACAGCTGTGACCGGAGGCATTATGTTTCCTGGTCCATCTGTCCCTAGTGTTCTAGTGAACGCCATATCTGGAGAACTCTTACTTATTTAACCAGGAAGTCCCATTGAGATCGAAAATCTGTTTTACAAGAGAGACTTGGCTGAGGTAGCAGCCAATCAAAACACATTTAAAATGCAGCAAATACAACATATAATATGAAAATCCACAATAAAACAAGTCTTGTGGGAATTTCCCCAAATTTGGCACAAACGTCCACATGGACTCAAGCATGAACTCAATAGATTTTGGTGCTCAGAGGTCAAGCTTCTCAAAGCATGTTTTTGGCCATAATCAAGAACTCGTAAGCAGATTATGACACAAATTTCACACATATGTCCAGTAGGATAAAATTATGTAGTGATGAAATTTTATATCCAAATGGTCAGTTTTATTGTGACATAGCTTTTTTCTCTCCACCATAACTCAAAAGCAGAAGGGGAGACATTTGGTCGGACACTGAATTGGTGACGCTAATCTTGGGTGCCCACCTTGAACTTTGCTGATTGTATATCTCCTCTGTGTTGCCAGGTTGAAGATGTGTGTGAAGCAGCCATGTTTTAGAGGATGTAGCTTCTTTGCAGCAACACCCATATTTGAAGCACCATCCTAAATAGGAATCTGGACGGACAATTGATGTGAACTGCATCTTAAATGTGTTTTTCTTTCACAGGGTGACACAGTTTATGCAACAGTTGTGCCAGAGATAGATGAAAAGGAACTGGAAAACATGGTCAACCCAATTGTACAGGAATACTTTGAGCATGGAGACACAAGGGAGGTCCAGGTAAGTGATTTCAAATTATTCTTCCTGTAAGTCAGTGCTTTTTTGACCAGGGATGAGCAGGTTTAGAGAATGAATTGATGTACAGATGAATCAAGGAACGCCAAAAACACACCAAGCAGCGGTCAAGTGCAGCCTGCGTTGAGCTGCTCTGCAAGGTCTACGGCAGGAGTGGGCAACCTACCTAGGCAGCTGCATGAGGCTCTTCAGGCCCTCTCTATTGGCTTCTTGTAGCTGTGACACATAGTTATATGGACATAAATAAAGATTGTTTTTTAACATTGAGATTTTCATTAGTTATTATTGTAGACCTAACTTGATTATTGCATTCTACAACTGTAAAAATGTGTAGCCCAGACATCGAATTAAAAAATCAGTGTAGTGGTGGCTAGCCTGGAGTCTCTCGTGCAAAGCTAGCTATGGATTCCAAATCCAAAAAGGGAAAAGTCTCGGAGGAAATTAGAGGATTTAATAGTGTGTGGAGAGATTAAAGTGCTAAATAATTATGAATAGCCCACTGCAGAGTAGCCACCTTTTAGTAAATCATATTAATGAATAGGGATGGGAATCTTTGGGCACCTCACGATTCGATTACGATTCAGGGGCTACGATTCGATTATAAAACGATTATTGATGCATCTTTAATTTATGTATATTGATGCACTTTTTCACAACACTGAATAAGCATTCAACACTTGCAATTTTTAAAAACAGTGCATTTGTAATAAGAAAGAGTTGAATTCATTTCCATTATATTTTATTAAACATATAAATGGAAATGCTTGCAAACTGGAAAGTTACAACTTCGTTGTACGGAACCAAAGGTAACAACAGGTATCTTAAATCACAAGAGCAGTTAGAGTAACAAATGATTCGGTGGCGACAGACGTCCACGCATCACATGTAACTGCGTTCCTACCTGCCTTCAACAGTGAGGCCATGACTTCTGTTTTGGTTTGATGGTAGAGTGTCGGTGAAATAGCGTTGGGATGGGATGGTGTATCTGGGCTCCAGTGTATGCAGCAGTGCTCGAAATCCCTGATTTTCCAAGACAGAATAAGGACGCAAATCCTTGGCAATAAAGGCCGCGATGGCCTTCGTAATTCGCTTCGCCTTTTCCGATGAGGGTGGCAGCTTTCTAATTGCTTCCTCGATTGTTCTCTGGTCGGTAGCGCCACTAGTTGCCGCAGCAACAACAGCCTGCCGTCTCCCTGACTCCTCCGTCAGGTGGAATCGAGTTACGTGGCTTCTCATGTTTGTTGTGTTGCCAAAGTATTTTATTTTAGCACGACACAGCTTACACATAACGTGGCTCTTGTCCAGTTCGCGTCCGCCATCAACGTTGTAGAAGCCGAAGTATTTCCACACATCTGCTTTTAAATTAGAAGAAGCTGTTCAGCTCTCACAGCGAGGTGGGTAGCGGTCAGCCATGTTTGTTTTCCTCTGTGCGCGTCGGCGTGTCTGCTCCAGGTGCGCATCCCAAAGTGTCCCGGAGATGACACGTACCGCGCTTCTTAGTTCCGCATTATTTAGAACCTTCTGTATTACTCTAATTAACAGATTTAAATAATCGAAATTTGGACGTTTGTGAATCGATTCAGATTTGTCCACGTCCGAATTGCGATGCATCTAAGAATCGGAAATTTCTTTTTCCTTTCTTGGCCAAAAATGGCTCTTTTCATAGAAAAAGTTGCCAAAGCCTGGTTCGTGGAATGCAGTGGTGGCCACTCCAAGCAGTGGCTGTTTGATTCTGCAACAAATTGCGGTTAAACTACAAGTTGGGGATAGTTAAACTTTTGGGACCAGAGATTTCCTGCAGCCAATCAGTCAACAAGTCCTGTGTCTCCAGGCACATGTCGACCGATGTTACAAAGAATTTTTTGCCTCCTCAAACACATGATACGCCTCCCGGTCGTAGAAAAATTAGAAATATAATTATTGCAGTGAGTCAAACTTTTCCACCGCTTGGTGTTTTCAGTGTAACAGAGAACTTTAGATCAGTTACAGTACCGTTTAGAGGCTGCACAGTTCAGTTCACACTGATTCAGAGCCAATCATTTAGCTTCGTTACTGTCTTAAATTTTCTTATTTGTCCCTTCTGCCGTCAGATGCTGCTGAAGGAGCTCAACCTGGGCCAACACAAGTATGAGTTCTCGTCCCTGGCCGTGTCCCTGTCCCTGGAAGGCAAGGCCAGCCACAGAGAGCTGACCTCCCGCCTGCTGTCTGATCTGTCGGGCAAGGTGCTGTCACAAAGTGAAATGGCCCGAGCCTTCGACAAGATACTCAAAGAGCTGCCAGACCTCATACTGGACACACCGGAGGCTCCACAGGTAGACGTCTAAACTTTGTCCAGTTGCTTTACACATTGGACTACAAAAAAAAATTGTGATATAGAGCTACATCCTGATGTTTTTTCAATGTCTGTCAGATGTTAGGCCAGTTTGTAGCCAGAGCCATAGCGGACCACGTCCTCCCCATGTCTTTCCTGGACTGTTACAAGGGCAAAGTGGACTGTGAGCATGCCAGGTGAGCCGAGACGGGCAAAATAAAATGCAGATACAATAACTTATTCACTAAACAACCTAAACTTTCCTCCTTTCTGTGTTAAGAAAAGTGTCTACCTTTCATTTTTATTAAGGGAAGCAAATGTCTTGCTCTCCTGTAGTACAGTATGTTCATCAGATAATGTTTGAATAGAATAAAACATCGGTGTTGTGATTTTATCTTTGTAATTTGGACCTCCGTGCTAAATTGGGTAAATCGCCAGAGCAAACTAGACTTAGACATGACCATTTCTGTGCAGAAAATTATATTTTGGTGTCGCGTTTCCTGCTTTCAGAGTGGCTTTAGACCGTGCTGAAGTGCTGCTGACCATGAAGAGGGAGATGGTTCGTCTAGATAATGTGTGGGGCGTGGGCGGAGGCCAGAGACCCGTCAAACATCTCGTCAAAGAGGTAAGCAAGTTTAAGAAAAACGGTAAACTGTAGAATCATGCGCTTGTTTGCATATTCAAAATGATTTAATGCATAATCCCTTACACCTGAGGTCAGAGTGTTTGTATTGACAAGCTCTGCTTCTTACATACGGTAAACAGAAGGAAGAAATGCATGCTGGGTAGAGAGCCACAGGCCAACCCTCTGTTGTGTTGCTGTGTCAGCAGAGCACTTTTCTCTCCTGAGAATTTGGAATCGTGAAAAATTAGGGCACAGGAGGAGCCGACACGGATACACACCCTAGCCTTTAACTGAACAGAGTCGTCACACTTAAACTCCACGTGCTTTCCGCTTCGTCTTTGTTTACAATTATTGTTCCGTGATGTGGAATTTCTGGAATTATTTGTGCTTGTGTGGGTGGCGTGGGAGATTCAAGTGCACGTCTTCATGTCTGTCAATTTGAATTTTATGCCACATTTTAAGGAATTTTGCGCACGAGAGTTGTCTGTCAGTGTTTTAAGTCACGTAGCACTGTGTAAGCCTCAGCAGCCCTCAGAGCCACGGGCTCTCCTGTCCAGTTTTTGATTTCCTGCCTGGTTGTGCACAGCCTCAGGGGGGAACCCGCTGGGCTGCAGGAGGCACAAGGCCTCTTTCACTCGCTGCTCTCACTTTCCCCTTATATTCACATTATTGCGCTCTCACTCTCAGCCTCTTCTAATCCTTTCGATTTCTTTGTCCTCCCTTCTGTCACCGTTCTGCCTGTCCACATTACACCCCCTCATGTTGTTTTTTTTTCCTCCCAGATGCTCGGACGACCACACATTCCCTGAGCTCAGTGAATTAGATCCAGAGTTGACTCACAGCTGTCGGTCTAGCTTTGAGGGTTTTTGAACTTGTTGCATCAATCACCCTCCCCTCGAATCTCAAGCGGGATGACAAATTGATCCATAAATAGGTTTTTAAGCAAGATGGTTGGTGAGTGTGCAGCTCAGCAGTGAGAGTGACAAAACCAAGCAGTACCAACCAGTGAGGCAGAGACTGAAAGATTCAAGCACAGCTCCGAGCAGGATTGTTTTGTCTAGCTGACTGCAGATCGTCAGATATGTTAGACATATGTGCAGAGTTTTATTTCCCAAGGAAGTCAGGTTATTGCTCAGGTAAATCCCCCTATATGTGGTGGCTTGATGAAATACTTTTAAGCGACGTGGTTCCGGTGTTCTTGAGCTCTCAGTCAGCTCTGTCTGTGTTCATACCTGTGAATTCATGCCTGTTAAAATATGTTTGTTTTTTTTTTTTGTTTTTTGGTTTGTCTTTTTTTTGTAACAACCACTGTAAATACAGTTATCCAGGGTGTGTTGGAACAAATAAAGGTTTGTCCTCGATCAGACATGTCTAAACTGCTCCATAAAGGCCTGTGTGGTTGAGGTTTTCGTTTCAACCAGGCAGGAGGACACCAGGCTCTGCTCATTTAATCAGCTGATCTCAGACTTCAAATGGTCAATTTGTTGAATCTGATGCACCCTTGATTGGTTGGAACAAAAATAACATGCAGCCACATGGCCCCTTATGGAATAGTGTGGACGTGTCTGTTCTAGATAAAGGCTGGAAAATAAAATGACCTGTGCTTCAACACAGACAGTTCGGTGTAATTTATATCTCCACAGCATTGTTCCATCAATACTCTCATCTATCTTTCTGTGAAAAAGAAAACAGAGCAACAGGTTTATTTAGTCTTTAACAGAGGAAAGAGACAAAGATGTGTCTGTCCGTCCAGTCCTCACTGAAGAATTTCAAAGAATATTTATTACATTTGACAGACTTTATAGGCAGAACAACCCCCTCCAGTTACAATAGTTACAGCCTTGCTTCACTCCACGCTTTCTGTGTGCAGACTGCACCTAAGACAATTTGTCTGTGTCCGTTTGTTTCAGATGAACCTCCTGCTCAAAGAGTACCTGATATCAGGAGACGTTGCAGAGGCAGAGCATTGTCTGCGGGACCTGGAAGTCCCACACTTCCACCACGAGCTGGTCTATGAGGTATGAAAGACTTTAAAGCCTCGTTTCCACCAAACAGTTTGCATATGGTACCTTTGGAACCAAAAGTAACCCTTCAGACATGGTACCTAGACCCTAGGGTTTCCAACGCAAATGATACCTTTTAAATGTGGGTGGGGTTGTTGTCACCCACTGCTCCGTCCAGCACTCACTGTATTTCCTCATTACTGATGACACAGTGTCTGCACGTCGTCTATCGTCCGCAGAGCGAGGCTGCACGCTAACATTTTCAGAACAAAATAGAACAGGCTGCAGTGAGAGTCTCTCTCCTTGGCATATTTAAGAATAGTAGGTTTGTGTATTTAGTCCTTCTCAGGCAAGCTCTGGGGTTTAGTGTTGCCGGAGCCCACAGGAACAATGTTCCCCTTTGAGTGAGGATTAGATTATATGCAGTTCACATAACTTGGTCAAAATTAATATTTATAAACACTTGAAGATCCACTCATTACTTAAAGTGTATGTCATATAGAAACTTAGGTGATGGTCAGAGTTGTCATGTGGAATATTTAAGATGTGCTGATGGATTCACGTCATCACCTCATGCATTGAGAAACATTACAAGTTAATGTTCCACCTTAAAAGTTGTCGTTAGTCAGCCAGTGAATTAAGTCATGTTTTCTTCGACTCCAGCAGCTGCGAGAGGCAGCAAACATCCTTTATTTTATAGTTGTAGTCCACTAATATAACTCCACAGTATGAACAGTGGTTACATGAGCCTCAAAACCAGCCACAGCTCAGCCCTGAGCAGAGTGACCGTCCACTACTGACCAATCAACAGACTGCAGTGTTCACAGCTCCACCTTTTAGTACCAGATCTGTGTGCTAGGTACCCCAACAGAGGGGGGACCAAAAATGGGAACGGTATGGAAATGCTCCATTGGTACCATCCACAACTTTTCACAGTGGAAATGGGAAAAAAAGCGTACTGAACTGAACTGCTTGGTGGAAACGGGGCTTATGTCACTGTATCAGTCTTAGTTTGGTTTTTGTTCTGTCGTCACGCAACCTACACATAGCATACTTTTCAGACTTTTTTTTTTTTTTTTTAAAGATTATTTTTGTGGGCTCTTTTGCCTTTTAATGACAGGACAGAGAGTGAAATGGGGAGACAGAGAGAGAGTGGGGACTGACATGCAGCCAAGGGCCGCGAGCCGGATTCGAACCCGCCGTTGCTGCAGCGAAGCGATGCCTCTGTACATGGGGTGCCGGCACTATCCACTACGCTACCGACGCCCCACTTTTCCGACATATTCACCAAGAAAACCGACAAGCCGAAGCACACAGATTGAAAGTCATTAAAACACTGACATGCAGAAGCATGACTCGGAACAAGACAAAACTAGAAACAACATATAAAACCGAAAAGGTGTTTGGCATAAAAAGCAGTCAAGTATAAATCATATTTGCAGAGATAATGTCAAACATGTCAGACTTTTATGTCAGGTATCTCCGTGTTCTCCCACATTATGACAATGAGATAAAATCAGCACAGTGAGACTCTTTTTAAAAGGGTATTTTCTCCTCTTGGTGCCTGACAAGTGAAGTGCAGCGGAAAACCAGCAACTTGTTGGTGACTGTCACTTCTGTTCTCTGCCAAGGACACTGTGTGTCTGGCAGAGGCGTCCTCTCATTCGCACTAACACAGCTCAGTCCAAATCAATCGATCCAAAATGAAGAGGCACATTGCATAACGCGGAGCTGTGTTTCCTCCATACAAGTGTAACGGCTCAGTGATTAAGTACAGGATGTAGCCGGATTAATGTATTTGCGATGGTTCTTCATTTAAGTAAAGATAATTAACTCTCCACTGTGTGACATCTCCTTTTGTTTTTTGTTTTTTTAAAAACAGGCAATCATGAATTAGTGACCAAATGTCCAATCTGGTTCTTATTTATTCGGCCTCAGTTGTGTGTGTACCCAGTATGATGTTGCACAGCCTGGTGCTATTTGTTCTACACATGCAGCACATTAAGAACAGATTCCCCCAGCTGGACTTTTTCAGACATAGTTTTTTATTATCTACAAATAACCACAAATTAAAAAAATAATTTTCATGTGTGAAGTGTGAAACAACTGCACCTTCTCCTCTCTGGTGAAGAAAATAAAGGCAGAGGGCAAACACCGCCACCATGTGGTGAAATGTGCAGCCTACATGTCTATGAGAAGATCATTTGTCATCATCTTGATTCGACTGATTTGACTTTATTATTATGATATCATACATTAAAGACAAATGCTGGCAACACACTTCTCCTTCTCTCTTACACATGTGTTTTGTCTCCTGTTTCCAGGCTGTAGTGATGGTGCTGGAGTCAAAAGAAGAAGCCACTGCCAGTCGCGTGATGATAAAGCTGCTGCAGTCCTTCTGGAAAACAGGCCTCATCACTGTGGATCAGATGAACAGAGTCAGTGCCTTTTTAGATTTCAGCCTAACTAAAGTTCAAAATATCTTTGTCCATGTAAAAGACATGATTTAACCAAACTTGCATTGTGTATTTGTGTTTGTCATGTAGGGTTTCAAGCGTGTCTACGATGAACTCCCTGAAATCAGCCTTGATGTGCCGCATGCCCACTCCATCATGGAGACCTTTGTGGACCTCTGCTACCAGGAGGCTGTCATCACCAAACAGCTGAGGGATGCCTGCCCCTCCAGGTGAGCTGGCTATTAGTTAGCACTTAAAAAAAGACAATGACTTATTTTATATTTTTCTTACTGCCATCAAATCCCATGAAAATACCCAAACCAACATGTTGGTGAAGTTGAAACAGGGTTCCCAGCACATCATCCAACAGCATGCAACCAAATCAGGTACCTCTCAGCTCAAGGACAGAGATTCTCCAAAGAAGAAGAAAGGACACCACTGCATCTTCATCAAAGCTTGGAGATCTTTGGTCCTGGCATTCATGTGGATGCCACTTGACGTGCAGCCACCCAAAAAGACCACGGCAATGGCACCCTATGATGATAATGGCCCCCCTAGCCACACCCCAATAATTGTTCAGGAATGGCCCGAGGAATGTGACAGAGAGCTCAAGGAGTTGTCTTGGCCTCCAGATTCCCCAGATCCCAATCAGATCAAGCAACTCTGGGATGTGCTGGTACGCCTGATAAAGGGTCAGACTTCCTTGGATCGGACATGGCTCTGACCTGTCGAGGCATAGACACAGTACCTCTGGGGGCGTCCTCCTGGGTTGTGGCATAGTGGCACATCCCGTAGATCAGTGGCTCAGCCAAGGGGTCCAGTCATTAGTTCAAGGTCCACACAGTTTAATATATTCAACGTCGTACTTGGCATTTGGCTGAGCTAGTTTGCTGTCTCTGTCAAGTAGCTGTCCACTAGTCACTCACTCTACAGCAGGAAATGGTGCTTTGAAATAAAAGCTATACACCAGAAATTCACTGCACTTCAAAATAAAGTGTGTTTTTTTACAAATGTTCTCAAGTCACTTGCAGGCCATTAAGAATGGACCTGCAACCCACCAGTTGGGAACCACTGCCATAGATAATCAATCCCTTTGGTATTTGGCTAATTTGGAGGCCAGGCTGACACCTTGAGCTATCTGTCAAGTTTCTCGAACCGTTCCTGAACAGCTTTTGTGGCACATTGTCCTGCTGGGAGGGCCACTGTCATTGGGCATTGCTGTTGACATGAGGGGCTGTATTTGCTCTGTAGCTGTGTTTAGGTGGGTGGTGTGTGTCAAGTGGCATGCACATGAATGCCAGGATGCCAAGGTATCCCAGCAGAATACTGCACTGTAACATGATCAATCTTACTCGCGTCACCTGTCAGTGGTTTTTGTGGTTTGGCTGATCGGTGTATAGAGTAGCTACAACTGGTGACCAGATCTATTGGATGGTGTATTCACAAGTTGGAGCTGTCAATGTCTATGCCACACTTTATGCACCACAATCACAGCAGGCATAAAAGAGCACAGATATTTCTTTTACACATAGAAAAGGAACAAATAGAGAAAGTACCGTATAGTACAGTACAAAAAATTAAATATATGTAGCCTAATTTTTTTTAATGTTGTAAGGTACGTAACGAATTTACACTCACGTTTCTCAATCTCTCTTTCCCCCACCAGAGGACGGAAGCGTTTTGTAAGCGAAGGAGATGGAGGGGTAATCAAGAACTAATCCACAAGAGGAAGAGGAAGAGCAGGAAGAGGAGGAGGAGGGGTGTCTACATGTTCTTACACCCCGTTTCCGCTCTGGCATGTTTTCCCCCTGATACCGGGCATGCTGGCAGTCTAAAGTTTCCTTGTCCCTCTCCTGATAGTGTTGTCATTAAACAAACCAGCATTGACGTTCGGTGAAAGCAGACTGAAAAAGTCGCCCAGGCGTTCAGTTCCATTCATCTTGTTAATCACCGTTTTTTGACTTTTTTTTTTTTTTTTTGGTAAGAAAATTCTTTATTTCTGGGGTTGGATGCGCCCCTCTCGCCTCGGTCTTTGTATCTGTTTCTCAAGAATCATTGGAGTCAGAGCTGCAGACAGACAGGCGGACAGGCGGGGGCGTGTGGGAGATGAATTTGGGTGTCTTGTCTCTTGCTTTGCTTCGGCCGTTCTTATTTTTCTTTCCATGTAAAGTGCTAAAAATGGGGGGAAAAAAAGCACATAAAAGACGGAGCATACTGTACAGTCAGTGAGCACTTAGTAATTTAGCTCAACGAGGATCTAACCTTTTTTTTTTCTGCCACAAATGATTTGAAATTATTTCAAGGACGACGTGCTTTGTAACTTCTGGTTCTGATCCTTTATGAGAAGGTATTTTTTTTTGTTCTTTTTTTTTTTTTTTTTTTTTTATTGCATTTCTGGCCTCTGAGGCCAAATGTTCACTTTGTAAAGCAAAGCAGTCAAAGTGAGAAGCGTTTGGGCACTGTTTGGGTGGTTATTTGAAACTCACAGTAGGGTCAGTATACTCTGGAAGCCCTTCTCTGAGAAATAAATTGGAGATAATGTGTGTAAAAAAAAAAAAAAAAAAAAAAGTAAAAAGTACTTAAAAAAATTAAACAAGCAATATTTTGAGCACTCTGACTTTGCTTGCAGTTAAGGATTTTACAGCTCACATGCTCGGCAATAGATTCTGGACAGGTTACCTTACAATATAAAAGCAAACCTTCTGTATCTGGAAATTATTTTCAATCTTGTTCACCTGTCTGATATGTCTGTGATATTCATTTATGCATATTTCAGGCTATTCTGCCTCCGTTTGTAACAGTTTTACATGTTGACAAAAGTTCAGGATGTGGCAATGAAGTATATTTCATTCATTAAAAAGCAACAAAATGAAGTTTCTGTATTTCTTTTCTTGGGTCATGCCTGCAGTATTGGTGGAAGAGTAATGAGGAGAAATTAACTCGGCAAGTGTAGAGATGTACATCAGTCACATTTGTTGATGAGTCATCAGTTGTGATGCTTAGAGTATATTTCAGCCTTGTACTTTTTGTCAGTTGATCTCATTTCTTAGAAGCAGTTTGAGGCCAAAGCTCAGATTTTTTTCTTGACTCCTGACCCCATTTATGGTACATCTAAGATACCTGGCTATGCGTCTCCATAGCACAGCTTTACTATGCTTACAGTGTAAATAAGTGGTTGAGGGAAATTATGTTAAATGGTTCATATTTGGAAGATGGTGTAATTTACAGGACACACTCATCCATGCATGCAGCTGTCTTCTGTCAGAGAGGCTATAATGTTTATGTTTTGTATTCCTACAGTCATCTTTGTACTGTTGATTTATTTTGGATCAGCAAACTGTTGATGACACGCTCCCCTTACACGAGAACTTCATTTTATATATTTCAATAAAATTACAGTATTTCCCTCTACAGTGTCACAGTTGTTTTTGTCTTTCACTTGTCAGGTGTATATTTTATTGAGTAGCAAATTTTCAAATCTGCAGAGGCTGGTCAAGATGTTTCTACTCTATAATTTTCACTGTATAACAAGCTGGTCACAGGCTAACCATTAGCACTTTGAAACCACTTGAATTATTACACAAACAAGCACTCAAAAAACTAGACAAAAACAAAGCACTCACATCACTGCCCCATTCTAAAAAACATCAGATTTTAAGTCGTGATGATAAAATATGTTAACTTGTGTTTGATATATTAAGTCTCCCATGACTTAGCTCCACCACCACTTGTAGCCTATATTAGCAGAAAAAACATTAATTGTGTCACTAGGTAATCCATAGGAGAGGAGATTGTATGATCCTATTGAGGAAAAGTGCTTTTAGCCAGTCAGCCTGGTCTGTAAGGGGTTCGAGGGAGTGGGATGTGATTCAAATTCATATCAAAGAACTAAACACTTTATATCTTTCAGTAATCAAATCAAAACAATTGATGATTAATACACAGACGCAAGTACTGAACTCTGCTGCTGCTAATAATATGTCCTGCTGGTGTTGTAATTTTGTTCTATGTGGAAATATGTCACAACTGCCTCTAGTGCTTTTAAAATTTGTGTTTCCTTTTATATTGCATCAATTGTGCCTCAAGTTTTAGCACTGAATCACATATTTGATGGTCATTACATTCTGGTGACTAAAAAATAATTTCTTGTTGATGTGTTCAAAGATGTCTGTTAAACTGTATGCCCTGTTTTCTTTTTCTTTTTGTGTCATTTTGTTTTGTTTGTTTGTGCTTTATTGTATTCTAGGTAGCCTTGTGTAACATCTAGGCCAAGGGACTACAGATGAAAGATAGCCTTTTGGCTAATTCTGGCATTTTTATATTAACTAAACTAAGCTAAACTAAACTAAGGTGCATTTACTCAAGTACTGTACTTAAGTACTCATTTTTTGGTACTTTTACTTAATTATTTTTATTTTCTGCTACTTGATACTTGTACTGACACTCATCTCAGAAGCAAATATTGTACTTTTTACTATATTACATTTATCTGACAGTTTAAGTTACTATCTAGTCAGGCTACTTTACGGATTCAGATCAACAATACAAAATATACCTAGCTAATCAATAAATAAATTACATTATCATATCAGTTAGGCTTTATTGGTCCCCAGGGGGAATTACAGGCCAACACGAAGCATGTGAAGTAATAACGCTACATACAAAAATATAAAATAATTTAGATGTAGTTCTCCAAAGATGGAGTACATTAATACCTCAATAATTACAATCCAATAATATTGTATTCTGAAATTAGCCATTCTGCATTATGAATATTTTTATTTTTGGCACTTATAACTATAGTTTGATGTTAATACTTTTACTTTTGAAACATTTTAAACGCAGGACTTTGAATTATATCAGAGTATTTCTACAGTGTCTTATTAAAAATCTCAGCACGCGCCAAGGTAACTGATGACGTCAAACGCAGGCAGCGGAGTCCACGTCAGTGGTAACGGCTACTAACCAGGAAGTGGCTAGTAAAGCTAGCAACGGATAATGAGCAGCTGAAACCGTGGTATTTTTGACAGGTCGGTAGCCATTTGCTCAATGAACATTAAGCTAGAACTGTAGTTTAGCCCCGTATATTATTAACTACTAATTAATTACAGCCACATTTTATCGCGTCAGCCTGTCGGTTTCGCTAAAACTGACGTTAGCATAACTAGCGAGTAGCGTGCAACCTGCCGGGGCGGAGTGGCGAGTTACATACTGAATGTGCTCTGGTAGAACAGGTGTCGGTGATTGGAGACACTTTGCTTAAAAGCTGAGTTTAAGTGTAAAATATTCGGCGCCGTAATAACACATTTCTGCCCTCATACACCTTGGAGGGTTAACCTAGCTAGTGCGCTCGTTTAGCCTGAGATGACGTAAACTTAACGAGTGTTACAGGAGGCTACTTCAAGACTCACAACCGGAATCATGAATAAGCTTTTTAATTTGTCTGTGATGTTATAATTGCGGCCATGTTTGTGTTTTCCGCTGCTTAGGTTGACGAAAACTACTCTCCTTTGTGTGTCTATGTACGTAAGGTTTGCATCAGTGGTTAGATGAAACTAACTGTACCTAAGATTTTGGATGTGCCTGTAACAGTTACTTAACTTGAGTACTTCCATTTTATTGCACTTTATACTTGTACCCTAATACATTTTGGGAGCAAACATTGTACCATTTACTACACAACATTTATTGGACAACATTAGTAACTAGTTACTGTCCAGATATATGTTGAATAAAAAATATATAATCGTTTAGGGGATAAATTATGATGTATTATGAAGGATTGAGCTACCCAGCAGTGCAGGAAGTAGTTAGAATAAGCCCCACCATCACCAGCTGCTACATCTAAGTAATGTAGACATTAATGCATCAATAATAATAAACCAGTAATATATATTTGGCTGAGGTGGAAAGTGAGTTTCATTTTCTTTTATACTGTACAAACTATGATGACTTGAGAGAGCTGATGTTTCATGACATGGCCTCTCTAAACTCTGACATTTTCTGGTGCTTGGATTACCAAAAGATAGTGTAGTTGTTTAACTGTGATGTGTTTAAGATTGCCAATTTTGTAACAAGGCAGGATAGATTGTTTAATTATACTTATTTTGATTTCTCAGTGCTACACTGTAAATGTCTTTGTGAGTGATCATGAGCTCGGTAGAGTAGAGTAATAGAGTATGCTTTTGTGTCTTAGCTCCATTTCCCATTCTTCCTAATGATGTCTGAAAATATGTACTTTGGACTGCGGTCCTGGCTTGTTTTGGTTTTATGGTGCCTTGTAAGCCCATGCGAGCTGGGTGTAACTATTTGCATGACACAGTAATAAAATCAGTCATTCATTCATACATATTGTAATATTGCCACTTAAGATCAGAGTACTTTTTCGACCACTGTAACAAATCCTAAAATTCTACCTCGTGCTTGATTCAGTTATAGTGGGAGGTGTTTCTTACATATTCTTTCCACTCAGATTATGTCAGTGATGGTGGACAAAATATTGGAATGTACTCTCAATACATCGCAACGCACTTGAATAGCACCACATAAGCTACATCCTCCAAAATGACCATTAAGTTGAAACAACGTCTCTCTAAACATTATAACCTTAATGAAGGTAGGATTTACTGCAGAAATGTTTTATCATAATGCATTAGTTGTAGCTTAGTGCACCTAAATATACTGGAGACTGTGTGCAACTACTTTACAGTGGAAACAGAAAAGGTGTAAAACATACGATGCCTATATGCCTGGGTGTTTGTTGGATCTCTGCCTTTTTGTTAGAGCTGTGTGGCCTGCACCCTGGTTTGTCTTTGCTTGCAAATTAGCTAGAATTTTGTGTACTAATGAATTTTGATTTAATCAGGTAGTCTCATTGAGCTCAAGAGCTTATTTATAGAGGAAGAGTCAACCAAGCCAACACACTAGAGCGTCATGTCAGTTTCAAGTCAGTTTTATTGATGTACATATTTTTTTCTTTTTATAGGCCAAAAGCACAAATCACAAATTTACCTAAAAGGGTTTTTTGTCTGTCCTTAGACTTTAGTCTGATTAGGAGGTGTTTATATAATCTGAAATAGGAGGAACATAATGGACGACGTAATCTCAATTACCAGTTTGTTAAGTACGTACTACCTAGCTAAAACTAATGCAGTCTACCGATTTATCGATTTATCCATCTATTATCTATTTTTTATTGATTTTTTTATATTCTTACCCTTCCTCTTTTTACGTTCTTATCTCATTTAACCTTTATCTTTTGTTATTTTAGTTAGCCTATAGGTTTTAGTTTTGATGCATTTTATGTCTCTGTTTTAAATCATTCTTACCAAGCTAATAACTCAATTTTATGAGCTAAATAGCTTTTTGTTTATTTGGTTCTTTTTATACCTTTTATCCTATCTTACTGTTTTAGTCCCTCAGCTTTTAGCTCCAGTGTTTCCTCATGGGGGCCTACCACACTGAGAGTTGTTCCTGGTCTCCCGATGGGTTGCCGTCGGGAGACCGCTCTGACCTGGGTGGCTGTAGGGCACTGCACCTCGGTGTGGGGCCTCATATCTGCCCGGGTCGGGGTGTCTCTATGGCGGCGCTCCCTGTGGCCGTGGACCATGGGCCCTCTCAGTGTGGACGGCCCCCAGAGGTGGCTTTTTCTTTGCCTCGGTGCTCGGCAATGTCTCTTTAGTGATAGCTAGTGTGTGTGAGTGTGTGTGTGTGTGCGTATGTGTATATTTACGTATCTCTATGTGGGGTGGGAGGGTTGGGTTTTCTCTTTTCTTTTTGTTTTCTGTTTTGGATCTTTGTTGTTTTTAACCTCTGTGAGGCACTTTGTGTTACTGTTGTATGAAAAGTGCCATATAAATAAAGTTGATTTGATTTGATTTGAATACAGCTGCCCTGCAACGAAACCTACATTTATGGAGGCTGTAATGTCAGTTTGGATTTGTGGTCAATTTGGAGGCTGTAGTGCATATTTTGGTGTTTCTGATATCTGATCCACCTGGTAGTCTAATATGTTTGTTTGTAGACTGAAAAAACCCAGCTCTCAGCCTCCAGAAAAGATAAATGAATGCTTCGCTAAATAATTTAAACAAAAAACAATCATAAGATTAATTTAAATTGAATTTTTTTGGTGGTCCTTTGCATTAGTTGCAATAGTTTTAGTTAGGTATACGTAATAATCTGGTGACAAAGCGTAAATTTCGACTGAGCAAGTGACAAATATATATAATAAAAACAAATTAAAAACATCTGATCAAAATGTTTTTTTTGAAAGGTTAACAAAAGTTTGCAGTTCAGTTCAGTACCTAAACTGAATTCCGCTAATGTTACTGCACACTTCTCGGATATTTAAAGTGAAATAATTATTGAATCCTGTACTGTAGTTACAAGATTTAGATGAGTTGTGGCTTT